ATTCTTCTCAGGGGAATCTGCCTTACGAATGAGCGGTAGAGTTTAACTATTGTGACGATTTCAAGTGTAATAATGCTTACCTATGAAATAAAGATTATTTTGAATTTGAATTTGAATTTGAATTTGAAGCATGTTAATGTTAGGTACCTCTTGTAAGCGTCCCAATCGGAGTCTTGATTACCGAATTCGTCTCCCGCGGCAGCCAATCGCGAGATGACGCGCATGCGCTCCGCGGCGGCGGCCGTGCGCCGCTTCACCATGGCGGCTCGCCGCGCGCGACGGGCCTCGCGGCGCTGCATGAGCTCGCGGTACTGGCATTGAAATAAATGCGGTGATTCTGGGCCCGATGCACAGAATGAATAACAGCACATAACAACAACAAGAAGCGCGTCAATCTTTAACAGACTGCGCAGGTGTCTGTCAGTCTTAGCGGGTTTGAACCGTGTGCAGATCGAACGTATAACAGGGCCTTCAAATACTGCAGACAAACTGGCAGCTTCAAGTTTGTTTCGTTTTTTAACAAATTGTATCTTTGAATGGTGTTCCTTTAATTTCAAAGACTGTTATTTAAAAGGAATTAATCATTTGAACAGCATCACACAAAAAAAGTTTTTTTTTTCACATTTGGTAGGTTCGATTCCTGGGTGAGGTAAGCAACTTTTAAGTCATTGAATGCCAAAAATTAATGTAAATAAAATAAAATGTCTTCATGAAGCAAAATATGCTATCTACAGTAGTTAAAATATTTTTGTGACCCATGGCCATGGGACATTCTGTATGTTATCACAGGCTGATGAAGGAATGTATATGTCAAAATTAATATACAATATATCCCTCAAATGCATTGTTAAGTCCCACAGACCAGCCAGCCAACTGCGCTAATCTTTATTGGTGACCCATGGTTTAATATACATTGAGAGAAGTAGCAGACCCAATGATGTGATGTGTTGATGGTTACATTACTGTACTGTAATATATATTAAAATACCTTGTCTATGTCAAGAGAAAACTGACCTTAGCTCTGGTGTCCGCCAGCCATATTTGAAAAGCCTCAGGGTCTTGTGGCGGCTGCATGCGGCCCGTTGGTCGGGTTTCAGGATTCTCTTCCGCCGCCGCGGCCGCTGCGATGCGCTGCCGGTTTTTCTCTATGCGAGCGTGTAGATTTGTAATTTGCCTCTAAATAGGGAGAAAAATGTGTGGGTATGTATTTTGGGGGTTAAGTAGCTCTTTAGTTCGTGAGATATCAGTAGTAAGTTAGGCAAACATATTACTTATCTGATTTGTGACGGGTTGCAGTCCCCTTTTGAATGTTATTTTAAGGTTTATCAGCTACAACTTACTATTTTAAATAATAGTGTTATTAATATTAAGAATTGTCAATTAGTTCACAGTAAGTAAACATATTGTTACCTGAAGATCCTCATAACTTTTAATATCAAAGCCTTTGATTGCTTCATTGAACTCATCTGTGTCACCATCTTCTATCATATCCTGTATAGATTTATTAACAAGTTAATATTCTTACTCTCCCATTTTGCTATAAGTTCATAGTCATACAAATGTGTAAACTGTAATGTTTGATCATAAAATAAATCGTAAAAGTTAAGCAGTTTTACACAGAGCGGAGTATAATGTAAGAAATGTCCAAAACACAATTTTACTGCTAGCTTTTTCTTTCTCTATTATTTGCAGTTTGTATATAATTGCTAGTCGAGTTTTTTATTACTTTAGCTGTATTACAGAGTTTTATACAATTGTAAAGATACTAACTTGTATAGCCAGTAATTGATTTAACTGGTCTTCATCCTCAGCGAGTCTCTCTTCTCGTTTCCTAGCATTTATTTCTAATAGCCGCCTCGCCATTTCTTTTTTTCTCTCTTTTTGCTGTTCAGCTGCAATGAAAATATTAGATTTCTTCCTTGTGAAAATAAGAAAGATTTCCACACATAACTTAATAGCTTTCCATCATATAACACACAATTATTATAGTAATCATATTACATAAAAATTCATCCAGTCTCCTAAATAGGTATGAATGAGACAGTGTTAGGAAGAAATACCACAAAGGTTCAGATAACTGAATTTGAAATGAATGCAAATAACAACATGCTTAATATCTGCAAAATGAGGTCTAAAAATTTGTTCACTGCTCTAGTGCCAGTAGAATTTTATAGGCAATTCAACCGAGACTGTAATGGCATGGTGAAAGTATGGTTGCAAACTTGGCATTGACAGCAACTTTAATTATGTAAAACTTACCAGTCAATCCTGAAGAACTAGCAGACTGTACATAAGGTAGCTGTATTCTCTTTACATTGGTTTCATAAAAATCTGCATTTACCCATTTCCTGATTTCTTCCTGATAATCTAAAGCAATGGAACAGTGTTCATGTAATATTTCTTCAACTCGTGACATTGTGATTGCAGTCACATGAACAGGGTACTTTAGTTGCAGTAATTTGTGTAGATAAGCTATCATTTCACTGCCACCTGAAATATTATTATAAAATGAGGAATAGTGTGTTTATTTAGTATGTTCTTCAAGGTACAATACTGGACCATTTTGTTACTTCCAAAGATGATTTTGGTTTTAGTATTGGAAGCTGACAGCATCTTGGATCTCTGACAAAAATTTCATCAGGAATCTTATCAATTCAAACACATTCAAATACTCTCTGTTGCACTGTACAATCAGAGCAAGGAGCACACAGATTCAACAATCTTTTAATTTTTTTTGTAACAAAATTATTTGCTAATAGTAATTCATTCATTCATCCATTATATAAACTTAACACAAACCTGAAAATTTAATTATGAATTCAGCTAGACAAACCTAAATTAATCCTCCTAGCATGTTCGACAACTACCTGACCTCTCAAAACAGGTATGATATGAACAGTGTGATATCCACAGTTGACAATGAGTGCTGTATCTCCAATCTCATTTCTGTACATGCTGTATAGAGAATCCACTCCATAACTCACTGCTGGGACGCTGTAGGCTTCGAACAAGAGTTCTGACATTACTGAAATTGGAAGAAAATGCTCATTTGAATATTTCTTGTTTATATGGCTAATGAGATCATGAAATAGTTTTTTAACACAGTTAATCAATCTTTATTAAATCAGGTGTAGCATTTAGTGTTCAGCTTCAGTTTCATTTTCTCACATGTCTTTTCAAGATAATATGAAATTTATCAATGACATGAGAAGTTCCTTACATTGTCTACTGTAATTGGGGGTGACAAATGCCTCTGTCATAACAATGGGATGTGGCACGCTGCCCTCATTGTCTATACCCAAATGGGAGAAGATGTAGTCCAAGACTTGCTCTTGTGCTTCAAAATGTGTCACCACATTTTTGTCAAATTGAGTCTTCAGTTGAAACCTTGAAGATAATAAAATTGCAATTAGGTATAATTTATTGTCCATTGCAAATGAGCTAAATAACAAATAGAGCTGGCAATGACAGTTTACATATTAGAAAAATAATACATACAGTGGGACTGTATGTATTAAAAGTATGTGTAAAAAAATAATATATTCTTACCTGACTGCTTCTATGTTTATAATATCGTTTCCTATTTGAATAGGCGGAGTTGCCGGCGGCTCAGCGTCCTTTTTACATCTGTCCTTCCGCGGCCTCGCTATCAAGTTTTTGAATATCAAATGTGGCTCATCGTATATGGACCAACCCACTCGACACTGGTATGAACCTACAAGATGTTATTTGAAAAGGAAGTGTATTGAAAGCGTGAAAAAATTTGAAAAAATAATAGTATGCGAAACCAACCATTGTCAATTACCAAAGGTATGTGCCCAAACTTTACAGTAGGTTCGTATTCATGTACTATGTCAGGCACAGTTTTATAATCTTTCAACACAATAACGTCATCCATTATAAATTAATTTAATTTATCCAAAAGAAAAATATTATTATCTTCCAATGTTATTCCGGCGTCAGGCAGCAGCGAAAATAAAATGACAATACTAGGCTTGCTAAAAAACACCGATATATCAACAATCAAAATACTGATGTTTTTATAAAAATTCGATTACTGTCGGCGATATTTTTAATCTCGACGTATAAATTTAAAAAAATTTTTTTCGAATATCAATTTCGATAATTTTTCATCAGTCACTACAAGTGCTTTAAGAATGCTTGAAAATGATACCAAAGTATACGTAGATTGTTGAGGGTAAAATAGAATAAATAGGTACATAACAGGACACCCACAAATATTTGCAAACATTTGGTAGACTTATCAGAGCTTCCTAGCCCATTTAACATGGTGATTACCTCCTTTCCCTCGACATTTTGCAGCAGACTATCACAGTAGTACTTCTTACCTTTCCTTTCTTTATTAGAATACTTTTTAACTGCAACACGTATCTTCAATTTATCAATTTTTGCTTTACATTTTGGGAATGTTTTTAGGTTACTACTGGTTTTGAGAAATATATCGATATATTGAAACACAAAAATATTTATCTCGATGAATATCGATATTGTTTATAAATATCGAGCCGATACAATATCTTCAATTGCCCATCCCTAGAGGACTGCGAATATTTTTTTTAATTTATACAACTTTGGCTACGAGGACATCAGCAATATAATAAATATTATCAGAGAAAAACGCGGGAAACTTCGATTTTGGCGGTCGTGTTTTCGAGTTTTTACTACTGAAAAATTAATTTATAAGTGATCAGATGACTTATTTTGTTTTATATTGTATATAAATAGGTATTTAGTTTGTGTAGATAATTAGTTAGTGTAGTTCTTCTGTGTAGGTAAGTTTTTTATTAACTTTTGTTATGAGGGAGAAACCTCCCGACGACTCGGGAGGTTGTGTACCTCATGTAGGCCTTAACATTTGTATAGGGGATGAAAATGTGATGGGTACGGAAGACAATATTCCTTTACTCAACAGGAAACGTTCTAAATCTTGCAAGTGTAAACATTGTAAGCGAAAAAATCTTTAAAAAGATGTTAATGGAAAAGTATGCGAACCTACTCCTAATTGTTGCTAACAGGCTGCGAAAAAACCTCCAATTATCACCAATTTGAACCATTCGCTCTGGACCTTTTGGAGGGAAAAGTGTCGTTTTTATTTTGACTTTCAATTATTTTGTGCAATCTAGTTTAAAGTGGAATAGGATAGTGCTATTGTGCCTTAATCGAAGATTAAAACGCGAAATTATACGAATCTCGAACTAAAATACCCGTATCGGCCCGTTTTAAGGAATCCCGAGTCAATCCAAGCACGCCGCTTCAAATTGCCTATCCTCTTTGTGGCGGCCATATTTACAGAAACATAATTAAACTTCATGTTTAGGCTGATGGCTTTGCCAATGCCTTAATAAAAAAAATAAAAAATAAAAAAAACCAATTTGAACAATTCTGATACAACAAATGTACAAGATAATAACACCTCAAAAACTTCTCTGTCTCTCAAAATGACATCCTATCTTGCAATACCGCTTCGCAATTCCAACGTGGACGGAAGTATCAATCAACTGACTCTGCTCCATTCGTAGTCCATGTAAAAAGAGAAGTAATTAATTCTGATGACCGTGGTACACTTCATCCGGTTCAGTTTGGCAATTTTTTAAAGAAAAATAACTTTAAAAATATTATAAATGGCAGTTTGAAAAGGATAGGTAGAAACAAAGTATCTCTTTCTTTTTCAAACCATAAAGAAGCAAATAATTTTGTTGATCACCCAAATCTTGCACAACAGAATCTTAAAGCTTTTATACCTACATTCAATGTGACCCTGATGAGAGTAGTGAGAGGTGTCCCTGCAGACTGGACTGATGTTAAATTTTTGGAAAATGTGTCGGTAAAATTATGAAGGTGAGGCGAATGAAATATAAAACAGTTGTCAATACAGTTGCAACGAAAAGAATTCACGTTAAATTAATTTATTTTATTTTATTATTATTATAACATTTTATTTCGAGTATGTGCTTGCAAAATAAATTAGAAACAATTATAGAAAATTACATAAATCCTTCATAAAAAACAACAATTTAATTTATTAAATTCGTTGATGGTTCGAGTTTACTTTTGACAGTGACAGCTTCACCAACCCGTGGTGACAGGACATTGGCGAAATCGCCATTTTTTTGTATAAATTTTATAATAATATTAAACTACCGTACATAGTTATTTTTACTTGACATTGGCAAAATCATTGATTATTTCGATGGAGCCATAACATTTAAAAGAAGAAGAACGTATAATGGAAAACTGAGGGTCGTATTCTAGAACTCTACTCAATGTTCAAGTCAGGATTTGAGTATGGTTTAAAGCACTCGAAATCATACTCAAGTCCCTGCCATTAGGGTTGTATTTGCAGTGCTTGAAATCATACTCAGATCCTGACTTGAGCATTGAGTAGAGTTCTGGAATACGACTCTGACAGTGGCGACAATCGCCATATTTTTTATATTATTCGTATAAAACTGACACTGGCCCAAGCCTAGTGGCCGCCATTAAGAAAATAAGAATAATTTATATTACTTGGTACTTGGTGTAACGGGCTGGTGTATATATATATATATATTAATTTAATAATACACCAGTACCAGTGTAGGTATAGTATGAAAATAGAATATTTTTTTATATTAAAAACAGCCACATTGTTTCTAATTATCGATTAGGTAGGACCACATCCCTCGTTGAGTAGCGTTAGTTTAAGATTAATAATGTTAACAATTCACGGAGCGGTTTCCATTCGCGCCCGCCGGTGCTGCGGGACAGCGGTTTTATTTCAGTACTCACGACCTTGCAAGTTTATGCGGACACGAAGCCGCTGCGATTGCGGATCGGACCGCGAACTTAGTGGGTAATCGCAAGTCGCGCGGTTAATAGAGCTCATCCCGCATGCGCCTGCACCACATTGCGCCTGAACCGACCGCCAAAGCGACGACGGGGCCGCCAAGCGCGCAGGTGATCGCGTCCTGCGCGGTTCTACTAGTACCCCGCCGCGCTAACCGCGAACAACCGTCACCACTACAGGCGTAAAACGCGCCGTGAAATATGCTACTAATTTTACATACTTAACTATCACATTCTACAGATGCCACGGTCCCGCGACAGGCGCGGGTGAAAACCGCTCCGTGAGTTCTTAGTGTAACCAAAAAAAAAAAAAATCTAACGTGTAATAGTTAGCTATTATATTATACTAGTATATAATAGCATTTTTACTAAAACGCCACCTGATGGTGACTGGCTGAACTGGCTGAAAAAAGTACTGAAATATTGTAGTATAACTCTTACTCAAGTGACTGTAAGTTTAATTTTGTTAAATTTTAAAATTGTGTCGTTTTCATTGATTTTTTTTTTAAATCTCTGTACATTATTATGTAGCGTCTGTATTTACATATAAAGTACTCGGTGGTATTTACAATATCTTTACATAACCAACAAGCGCTGGAGATTAAAATTTGGGTGATCGAGGTCTCAAGGTTCGAATCTACAGTATTTACAAAGTGATAATCTTTATGTAATTATAATCTAAAAGATATGAAGGAAATACAGTGACCTATCCTTAACCTGTACAAACTTGTTATAAACCCATAAAAGAAGCTTTTTTCAAGCCAAGCCTGCGAATGTTGTTGCTGTCTGACTCTCTGTTCCACTATACATATAATTGCAATAATGGCACAATTGTTGTGATTGAAATATCTCTATTCTATTCTGTTGTATCGGCATAGTAGAATAAGACCAAGTAGGGCAACTCCGTACCCAATAACAGCGCGGCTGTATGGGCGCGCAACCGTGTATATTCGCACATATATCATTCGCATAATAATGGAATGCGCGTTGAGACGTCCAATATTGTGCAACGCTAGAGCACCCTTGGGTTACGCAAATGTGTACGTCCGTACACAGCACGCGGCGGGCACGCACGCACACATACAAGCCGCGCCGCGACTACGTTTAATAAGGAGTTACCATACTTGTTCTTATTTTACCAAGGTTTCGGATTCAGTTTATTCACATAACTTTTAGTTTTTAAAAATGTACAGGATAATTTTAGATGAGATTTTATCGATATAAAAAGATCATTGGATATAAGTGACATTTCATGATGCCGTGCGATTTTTTCTCGTTCTCTTAAGTGTCATTTTGTAGTGTTTTTGTTGCATGTACGGATAGTAAAGGATGGGTCATGTAGGGTAGGTAATAATTCCAATAATAGATAAATAAGAGAATATCGACATTGCACTATGTTAGATATTTTATTCACAATACTGATGTAGCTCATTATACATCTTAACTCGCTACTTTTCTAAGCATTGAATTTTTTTCGCGTAGTTAATATAATTTATTCATTTTTAGTAACAATAATATAGAACGTAATAGGAATGTGGATTTATGTAATTCACAAAATTGTTCTTAGAATTAATTAAATACTGGATGTTATTTTTTTTTGTAATAAATAAAGACATTTGAACAACTTTATGTTAGCACAAGCCATAACTTTTATATATTTACAATATTTTGCAACTATTCAACAGAGTCTTACTTTTAGAACTACACTTATCTTATTTTGAAATGAAATTGTCTTGTGGGAATAATTTTAAATTAAAGAAATGTTTACATGTTCCAGTTAATAAAAACCAAATTATGATCTAAAAGCGGCCGTAAAAACGGCTAGAAGTTAGTTGGTTTAATAGATGTGGATATGACACAATATAATTTTAAAATGGATTTGGCTTTATATATACAAATCAAATTAAGCGTGTTCGGGTGGCATTTGTTTATCGCAGATTCATGTTTAACTTCGTAAGGAAGTTTGATTCAGTGCGGATTCTTATGACAAACACAAGAAATGTGTGTTTACATTCAATTGACTCCGTTATGAATATCATAATGACTTGTTTGAAATGTTGAACGTGAAAGTAAAAATTCTAAATGGCCAACTACAGCCCAGCGGCGTTCGTATCGTATCTATTGCCACAGCGAAACCCGTCGTATCCTAACAACAATAATAACAAGGAATTTCTTTAAATACAATATCACTCTATTCTATTTTAAGCTTTGCCTGCCACCACCGTGCCTGCTTGCTTGTCCATTTGTTCCTTCTCCAGTCGTTTGCCGAGGTATTCCCTGAAAATGTTATAATAATTTTATTAATAAATATTTTTAAAATAGTATAATTTTATATTTCTAAAAGGCAGTGAAAATTGTAAGGGCGAATATTAAGAAATATTGCCGCTATATCAGCTCAAATAGACATTACAAATTACGTAACAAATCGTTCTTGTTATTATCATGCAGGTAACTGTACAAGCTCGTATATACAATCGAGCTCAAAGTGAATTGCTTGAAGCTTGACCGCGTACTTAAACCTTATTATGGATGAAGGTGTGATCAGTTTATTTTGTATTTTTAAGCTAAAAAGTGAACAAGGTATGTCAGTCGTACCAGTTGTGGACCATGAGCTTTTGTACGGCCAGCAGAGCTTCGTAGCGCACGTTAGGATCGTCATGGCTCAGCAGGTGCATCACGCGCTGCTTACCCCCCAACTGCTCGATAATGCTGCACAAATAACATAAAAATTAATTATAAATGAAATTAGTTTAATGAATAATCAAGCTGGCACAGAGTATTTGGTAAATCTCATTTATAAATGGTGCGTTTAACTGTTTTCTTCTTTCTACCATAAAAACTCGACCCTTCCATGCTATGTCTCAGGGTGTCGAACGTAGTCGCAGTGCCCCTCAGATGTTTGTGGTTTAAAGCTCTGAGTGGCATTGCAACTGTTATGGTCAGGCGTGTCACTTATCGCCAGGCGCACGACTTGTTCGTCCCGTCAATAAACAAAAAAAACCACTGCAATAATGGAATTAAATGAGAAATGTTCATAGATTGACAATTGTTCTATTCACTCTCATTATCAATACGTTCAGCTACTGATAAAATAAATATCAATTGATTGCCATTAATTGGTTTATCCATTTTTCACAGTAATTAGTTCGAAAAAATGGATCAGGTTAAAACGGATTAAATGCGGCAAATTCACAGGGAGCGGCCGCGCTTGTTTACTTTCCAAGTAACTCTAAAGCATATCTTGGCAATGTGCACTCATTTATCGCCATCAACTTCACTCTTTATTTTCATATGGCAACCCTGCCAACAACCTTCACGTCATAGGACCACGTCAGATAACTGATTAGACTGGACATTCAGATACCCGTGCCTGTAAATTCACCAGCACCCTCACCCTTCAAAACCGGAACACAGTAATGCACACATTGTTGCTTGACGGCTGACATAGGTAAGGTAGCAGTACGTCTCTGGACGAACTCTTTCACAAGGAAACTAAAAAAGTGACGACATTTCCTCTCAACGTCTCCCTCAGGTTATAATCCGACATATACTTACTGTTTCCCGCGTGGGTAGTGGCGCACGTATTCGCCGATGTCGTAGCAGGCCACGGCAAGCACCACAGGGTCGGTGCTCTTCTCCAGCAGGTGCACCAAGGTGCGCAGCAGTTCTTGTCCACGCTCGTTAAGCCGCGCCGCGTTCTCGCGCCAGAACTTCGCCGACTTGTGCACGGGGGACCATTCCAATCTGTAATGGAGTTCGGTTTTCAATTGTTATATGATTCACCTTTCATAAAATATGTAAACATACTGTATATCACAACCCTCATGGAGAATGGCATAAGTGGAGTTACGTCAAAAACGTTTATTGCTTCATTAGATACAGAAATATAACCCACATCCTCTTCAATTCTTGTAACTCTATCTACAATATTAGTCGATAAATATAGATAAAGGGTTATATTTTTCTGTATCTAATGAAGCAATAAACATGTTTGACGTAACTTCACTTATGCTATTCTTCCATGAGTGATGCGATATCATAACATAGAAAATAAGACAAGTAGTGTAACTCCATAGAAACGTATCAGTGCGATTTGTATGTGTGCACGCCCGCTGTGTGCCGCATGGACATACACATTTGCCTGCGTAATGCATATGTTTAAAAAATTACATCAAATGGGAGACGTGTTTATTGTTGTGCTTATGGTTGACTATTTCATATCATAGTCCCATAATCGAGGTACTAATCCGCGATACTTCAAAAAAAGGAGGTTCTCATTGCGAGTGTATTTTTCGTATGTATGTTACGCCATAACTCTTTGTCTATCTGTGATCTGATTTTTATTATTCTTTTTTTGTTGGAAAGAAGGTACCTCGGTAGCGATCCCATTTAAATTTGAAGAAAATATTCCAAGGGTGGTATATATATACATATATACACACTAGGGGATGAATCCGGTTTTGCGCACTTTCCGGTAACTGATTTCAATAAAATTTGGCAAATAGATGTAATTCCACAAAATTTTGAAGTCGGTTTTTTTAGTACTCTGTACTGAGATTATACTGAATTATTTAAATTACACTTACAACTTGTAGGTACAACTGAAATAAAAATGTGAGAGCCCTACACTACGAAATATGTCACTGACGCAACGAACTGGCGGTAGTTGGACTAGTTGTCTTATTATACTGTGCCATAACAGCACCTGATAGAACTAAATCACAACAGATTAAAATAATAATAATAATAAAGCACACACTCATAGCCTCACACTAGGGAAACCCTGTATCGCGGGTGCCATGGACACGCACATATGTAGACAACCACAAATTACACCCAAACTCACGAGAGAAATAAATGTAGGCCATACAAATATTGCTCCCGACCCGGGAACCGAACTCGGGATCTCTGCGTGGCAGTTCAGGATGGTAATCGTTCGGCTACGGAGGCAGTTAAAAGCAATCCGTAAACACATCTTGCAAAACGGAGTTTCGATTCAGTAGCGTGACATTTTAAAATCCTCATATCCAGGCTATATCTGACGTTGTTTGAAGAATAATTTCACATATTTATCAAATAAGGCAGCAGAAGTTATGTCGATGTCGAAGTTATAATGAAGATCGTCCTTTGGAATGTGCATATGCCATCTAAAGGACGTTAGACCCGCAAGATTATTTTTTTTTATTCAAAAATATGCGCATCGCCTTATGACTTCCATCTCACCTGATGGAAAGTGACGATGAAGTTGACGATTGAGGATGTCTAAATAACGCCTATTCACTCTCGCCTTGAAAGGACCCAAGTAATAGCATTTAGGGAACAAGACTGCCTGCAGGCAGGAAATTCCACTACATAGCCGTTTGCCGTATAAATGTGGAACGCTTCGTGCGAGTCCTTCGAATATCCACAACATAGGGGTGGAATCCCAGCCTACGTCTGGTGGGGACCAGGATGAAAAGGGGAAGCCTGAATTAAATCGTGCAATTCCCTTACACACTCTCCGTAATATATCCTGTACGCTGGTACAAATATGCTAACCTTCCGCTCTTGATTTCCGTAGCGTACTGATCAAACGATGACAAGTCCTGTACGGAAGCCTGAAGGCGTTCATTGAGAAACTCGACGTCGTTCATGATGTCCTCGTCATCAGAACGCTTCTGCTCCAGGATCGACAGCTGCTTCAACACCTTGCATTGCACCATGGCGATGCAGTGCTCCTTTGCCATCTACGTTTACGTATTAAATTAAATAAATAAAATGTGCCAAATAAGTATAACTAGTTATAGGTTGCTAACTATACAATGTACATGGTCAAGAGCACGTCAAGCTTGACACTTAAGATTGAAATCCTAACTCTACGCCGCTTACGGTAAGGACGGTCCAAAGTACAAAGTGTCAAGCTTGACGTGCTCTTGACTGTACTATGTTTAATGCTTTTGTAACTAACGAATAAATAAACAAACAAAAAACGTCTAAATGAAACTGTAACTCACATAACGCATATGAGAAGATAACCAGGAAACTTTAAAATTGTAATGAAACTAGAAAAATCCTTATTTTTGGATGAATTAACAAGAGTTGATGTGTAAATTATAAAAAAAGGACAGCATAAAAATTTGCCTCCAAGTAAGTATAATAAGTTTGATGCTGGTTGTGAATAATAGAAAAAAATGGAAGCGCTCTTTAAAATTATGGAAAATACCTGTTTGTCTTCAGGTTTCTCAATAAGGTTCCTGAAGACGGCAAGCACAATGCGGGTGACTTTCTCTTTAACAGAGTCGCTGAGGATGTCCGCGAGGATGGGGATCACGTTAAACTTGTTCATCTTCTCAGCCAACAACGGATTGAAAGTCAGCACCCACAGACAGAACACCAGCTGGTATTGGACCTACACAAATACACAAAACAAGGGAAATATTACTGAAGTTGTCGTCATGTGAGCACCTTTGCATTTCGAGTCATCATACTGATGGGAAATATAAGTACCAATTTTACCATCAATGTACTGGCTGACGGTACATGTGGTCCTGAGGGATGTAAAGGCATGTTTTTATTGTACCAGTGCTGGTAGAAAAAAATTAGTAATTATGTCATACTCATACTCAATTTCGAATGGGAATCGCATGGACGATTATGACAGATAACGTATTATCATCAGGTATATAACCAGAAATAGAAACAAAATAAGGGCCAACCATCCCTGGCAACTCATCAAGCAAATGTACCTCATATGACTTTTAAATATCAACTCTCGTTGGCACTGAAATCACAAATTAGAAAACTGAAATAGTACAGCGCCAACTTCTGACCTGTGTCAGATATTCTGTATTTATAGTAATAAAGATAATATCTCTAACTATGGGGGGCTGTTCCATTCGGTGGCGTGGGAAAAACAGCAAAACATCTAATTACAAAACAAACGGAATCACATTTCTTCGGTAATTAAATATTAAATATGAAGTTTTTGAATTGTCGTCCATTATAGCAAAGTTCAAGTTAAACTGGTCGATTCGAAGTAAAACAATTGACGACACCGGTCAATTGTTCCGAGTTCGGGCTGGCCAAACGGAGCATAGTTGTCACCGTAATGATTTGGCAGAATAGTTTTCAAACAAATTAAATGACATTTCGTCTCTATTTCTGGTTATATACTCGATGCATATTAAAACATTTTTAAAATGAGGTAAACGTTGTGTTTTTGTTAAATTGTTGTTGTTGATGATATTTTCGTGTCACAAAAATATTTGTCAAATTCAAGTGAGTACAGAGTGGACTGGGTCTTTTAACTGTAATTTTCTGTGCAATAAAGTATTTCATTCATTCATTTTCATAGGAAAATGAGTTTCGCACATATTTTTTTTCACATTTTTTTTCACAAATTTCGCACATATTTTTTTTTTTAACGTTCTAATAGTAGAACCTTAAAGAAAAAAATATGTGCGAAATTTGTGTAAGAGTAAAGTCCTTTAGTAGGACTGAAAAGCTCTACCTGGAAGTTAACTCTTGAGGCAAGGATGGAGAGCAGGGTGGAGATGCCGTCGACGGATAAGAAAGCGAAGCGATACTCGTCGATACGCAGCATCATCTGCAGACAGCGCGCCACCGACTGGATGTAGTCGTTGTTCTGCGGAGCATGTTACATTCCTCTTAAATACGCTGTGGATTATACCTAGGCAACAACAGGAGACGTAATCCTGTTCATTAGACTTGTCATCATATCCCACTCTAATCCTTTGTCAATGCGATTGGGGTCAGATATGATAATCTGGTACAAAAAGAACTTCGCCGTCTGCTAGAAGCCTTATATTATATATTTTAAACATCTTGACAACATTGGACAAGAGGCATGTGCGAAATTACAATAGTGTACCTAAGCACTTACTGGAACTTAGAGTAGAATTACGGACGGTGGTGAAACCACCTTCCTCAATTTAGGGAAGTTGATTTATAAATGGCTCCCGTCAGTTATAAATGGGAAATCCTATACTGTTTTGTAACTCACTTTAAAACTTCAGCATTTCAAAAAAAAATCATACAGGTTTGTGAACTGGAGACATATATCGCATCGCTTTTTATTTACATACATCAAGCATTGCTGCCAAAGATCCATCAACCCAAAATGATTATATATCATTTACATATGCTAATAAAATTTAATTGAAACTTGCGCTGGAGTAGTTTACAAATTAATTTGTTTATAAAATTATTTACATTATCATACAGAGCGAGGGTGTGCCTTAATTTCAGTGTATACTTTTACAGTGTTTGGATAACGAGTACTGTTTTCAGTCAGTGCTTTACAAGTTGACAGAAACATGTGGATTTTAAGAAGCGGAAGTGTATTTTAACTAAAAAACGTATTTATTTTTCGTGGAAGCACATCAATTAATGCATTGCGTTATTAAGTTAGCCCTTAAATTTCATGCACATACTTTTAGGCTTTATCGTGCACATTCTTAAACAATTATAACTTACGGATTAATGGTAGCTGTAGATCATGCAATAAAGTCCGTTAGTACTTTAGCAAAAGAGGCCGGTTACAATGTTAACAAAAAGTCCCTAACCTTGTAGGTTAGTGCACACGTTGTTACATACGTACATTCAGTGTCACACGGTTATATTGCAGCTACAGGGAATACCTTTTGCTGGACGGGCGACAAGTCATCGTCATGCGGTTTCAGTTGATCAAAAGAGCTGTAAAGGCTCGAATATTTCGCGTTGGGGCCTTCCGTTAACAACTCCTGCTCCTTATGCTTCTGTTTCTCGGAGAGCTTGTCCGAGAACTGTTGTTTCTCGTGCAGCAACATAACCTGCTCGGCAAGCGCTAACTCGGCAGACATTTGCTCCGCCTTGCCAGAAAACAAACCTCTGAGTAATCATGCAGGCAGAGCGAGGCCAACAATGCGTGATGCGGCACAACACGGATTTGTTTAGACACACAATGGGGGTTACACGCTGGTGATCTTGCTCGCCGCGAAGCTCGTGCTGATAAGCATTGCCACATTATACGGGGTTTACCTATTATCTTCATACCTTCTTCATAACTTCTTCCTTATGTCAGTATATTCTGTATTATTAATTTCTAATTACAGATGTTTCGTGTCTTTGTGTTGTTATTGGTGTGGATGAATGAATACCACAATGAAAATATACAATCATGAATGTGCTCTCATCAAAGATGCAGGAGTTAATTATTATTAATATGTTTAAGAAAATGCAAAGTAGAAATGAAGATAGTTAACTATTTTGAAGAGAAGATAATATTATGACGAATATCAATTAGGTTTTTTGGTTTAATTAACATAAATTAACACTAACCAAAATCGCATTGTATTGTATTTAACTTAACACAATCGTGCCTATAAAGTTCTCTTATTGAATTGGACTTACAAAAATCATTTACATAAATAATCAGTACAGAATACTAAAAAAACCGACCTCAAAAGTACGTGGAATTACGTCTATTTGCTAAGTTTCGTTGAAATATCCCCTAGTTCGCCACTATACAGGACTTGATACTGGAGATACTAAAAATAGGTTTTCACTACGACACTACTCAAAGTATATCGAGAGAAAAACGCCTTGAATTGGAGAAATAGCAAAATCAACTAAATAATTGCTAAAAGTAATTGCTCCTAAATTAAAGTTAGGCGCTATTTATAAAAATGAATCTTCATGCGTGAACAGCCACCCTTTGAGGTGGATGATTTTCTTCAAAATGAAATGGGACCACTATGGAAATGCCCCCTTTCCAACAAAAAAAAGAATCATGAAAATCGGTTCACAAATACCGGAGTTATCGCGTAACATACATACAAAAAAAACATACAGTCGAATTGAGAACCTCCTCCTTTTTTTGAAGTCTGTTAATAATACAATACCTGTCATATACCATTTATATTATAATTCATTTTACTTTATATCATACAGAGCGACTGTTTTATCAGTTGCCAAATTTTTTTCTATGCATTAGGCAATGATATTATATTTGTAAACAAGAGATGCGCAATCTGCGCAATCTGCGCCTTCAAACGGTACCCACGCCACGGCACTGTTGTCTGCAGGCATCGACATCATAACCTAACGTCGATGTCTGCAGGCAACAGTGACATCAGTCACCATCTTGAATTCGAGTGAGTACAACGTCACCGAGACGTGATAAAAAAGTATCAAAAATGGTGAAATATATAATTAAAATTTACAATTCTCGGTTCGAAAATGATCATAAAACTACTGAGGTTACTTTCCACAGGTAAGTTTGCTTTTGTTTGTTTAGATTGTCGTATACAAAAATGAAATAAATTTCGTTTAAACATCAATGTTGCCAGTAAATCAATTTTCATTTGCCCATAATATTGGGAGTTAACCTTTTACTTTTGACTTTCTAATTCAAGTTTATTCGTTGTAACGTTTTAACGTAAAGTGTAACCATAATACTATTATTACGTAATACTATTAAAAATGATATTTTGTTTGTTTCCCAGTATACCTAAAGATCGAACGCGCAGAGCGGAGTGGATAAAAATTATACGACTTTTACGAAAAGATACTTTAAGTAACAAAACACTAGGCAATTGTACAACAAGCTAATGCAATAATAAACTATAGTTAAAAATCAAGTAATTTGTAATACCTACCCTTTTATAAATTTGTTTTCGTTAAATAGAAACAGAGATTTTGTCGGAAGGCAGTATTTTTATCACCTTTATCCAATAAATAAAAAAATATTAGAAAAGCAATGAATTCCTTAGATTAGAAAGTCATCTCTTCATATTTACAATTTATTTGAAAGAAATATGAATTCCAGGCGTGGACCTTTAAGTTCATATATTTTCATGTATTTTAACTTACTCCTTCATACCATTTGTCTCTTTCCACCAGTCTTTCCACCAGAGGCTACAAGAAATTAGGGAAAATTATTTCTAAACCGGTAACACTGGTCGTATTCCTTACTGCACTATGATTCGTATTCCAGAACTCTACTCAATGCTCAATTTAGGAGTTGAGTGTGATTTAATGAGTCCTTGCAAATAGGGTCGTATTTCCAGTGCAAGAAATCATAGTCAAGTCCTGACATGAGCATTGAGCAGAGTTCTGGAATACGACCCTTAGGGTCGTATTCCAGAACTCTACTCAATACTCAAGTCAGGACTTGAGTATTGTAGTGAGCACTGAAAATCATACACAAGTCCTTGCAATTAGGGTCGTATTTCCAGTGCAATCCTGACTTGAGCATTGAGTAGAGTTCTAGAATACGACCCTTAGACTATTTCATTTTGACATAATAAGTTTGACATTAGAAAAAACGAAACAAATGTATTTTTTTCTTTCTTTCTTTTTAATTTCAATCAGTTTCAAAGCTAGTCTTTAAATTTGTAAAGTGGTTCCACATTTTAGACAACTGTTTGTAGGACATTGCGTCTCTAGTATTATTTATGCTCACTGGCTAATGCCAGTGAGTATAAATAATACTAGACCTAATGGTACCATTCACGGACTACCATTTTTGAAAAAAATAATAGGTAAAATTTTCACATTATAATTATTTGTCCAAAATAATAATCGATGTTTGGTTACCTAGTTATCACAAGTAGTCAGGCAGATAAATGAGAATACACCTTCTCTTCACCCGGGGAGAAAATCCCACGCGGCGTAACCGCATTCATATTCACTCGCTACTAGCGACTCGCTAGGGCACGTTCGTCTCGAACAAATGTCACGCCGCCGGCGCGTCCGCTCTCTCTACTTTCCTCTCACGTGTTTAATGTACCTACTCAAACCACGAGTGCTACAATACGGTGCGGAGTTCCTTTTAAGTGGTCAAGTCTACGGGGAGTCCAGAAACTGCGAATGTTAATCTCTTTAAACTTTTCTTATCAACAACGGTATGCGGTGGCGGGAGGTGCAGGACTATTTACTAACTACGCGAAATCAAAACAAGGAATCGGTAAGCCCGCGCAACATCAGTTGGAGCGAGGGGCAACTCAGGTCAAGAGCATCATAGGTTATTAGGCGAATGGCGGTGAATATAAAAACGCTTTTCGAATTTACCGACAGAAGTACGAGACGGATGTAGGCTAGACAACACGCACAGACAATAATAGTGTACCAGTAGGACTAGCACACGGGACGCGATTTGCGCGAGAGCGACATACCGCGCGAGATGTCTATGCAAGGATAACGGTATGTCGCGCTTTATGTCGCTCTCGCTCAAGTCGCGCCCTGTCGTGCTAGCCCTACAGACAACCACACCAATTATCTGGTCTCAAGTTTCTCAAATTGGTCCTATCGAGAATCGAATCTAGTACAGTACTAACCGTTCGGCCGCCGAGGTCGTCAAATTGTACTTTTGTCTCACGTGTCTCAAGAGACGAAAATAAGTTCTAATTGCTGTAGCGTAGAAATCAAAATAAGTCGATTGGTTTTTGAATTGCTTTCCCAGATCGTGAAAAACAAATACGTAATGCAGATGTTATTTATGTATTTCTTTTTTAAAACAATTGTGGGTGTTATGTCATGATAAAGATTATTAAGTTTTCAATTAAGCATAATTAGCACGGTGCCACTGATCCATCGCCGTACTAATCTTGAGTACGATAGCGAGTGGCGGGCGGGAGATGGGTTGAGCTGAGGCGCAAAGGAATGTTACAATTGCATCGGCTGGAGTGTGTTATATGTAGTGTGCAGTGGTCATATCTCAACATTTTATTACTGGGTGATACAAAAATCACTTGTATAAGTTTTCAATTTATTTTGTACGTTGATATATGTGTCTATTGATCCCTAAATAATGTGTTAATATTTCTAAGAGCAAAGCATTAATGATGATACAACATTTACTAATATAAATCATTACAATAAAAATATCAAACTCATGCAAAAAAATCATGCAATTGGCACTCTAGGAAACTTCAAAATCAAATGTGAAAATGAAAATATTACGTTTCCTTTTTAGGGTTCTGTACTAAAAAGGTAAAAAGGCAGTTTTAGGTAATATGTTCGACTTACATTCATCTTAAGTTGATCCTTAAGCCAAGACAGATAGAAATGCAGGTCACTTTTCTCCATTAGCTGCGGATGCCAGCAAGCTAGCTTGGCGATGATGCGAGCCGTCATGTGCTGAATAAACTCATCCTGGCGATTCAGGAGGTTAAGGAACGGCTGCCAGGTGTTGCCACGACGGGGATCTCGGAAGATTTTCACCCTTGACTTGTCTTCCTGAAATTTGTATTTATTTTAATATGTTACGTGTGGGCTCTTTTTAATCCTTCATACTTAAGTCATGCATTGGATTGAAAACTTAATTTTCAAGTGCAACATTTTTTTAGTGTCAAAACTTTATTTGTACAATATCATAAAATTTATTAACTGCTTTTTATAATTTTGTAGCTATTTGGTTATAAACCAACCACCACATAAATAAACTACCTCTACCTCCTAAAAATAAAACAGAGAGAATTGTCTCCAAAAACAATGTTAATTAATTGATAATTGACTCAACAATTAATTGATAACTGCCTCTGTGGCCGAACGGTTACTATGCCGGAGTGCCACGCAGAGGTCCCAGGGTCGATTCCCGTGCCGGGAGAAATGTTTGTATGGCCTACATTTATTTCTCTCGTGAGTTTGGGTGTAATTTGTGGTTGTCTATGTGTGTTTCCATGGCACCCGCGACACAGGGTTTCCCTAGTGCGGGGCTATGTTGAGTGTGTGCGTTGTTATTATTATTATTAACTGCGTTACTTTTGTAAGTATGTATGTAGACAACTTTACTTGGCAGTGCTGACAAATTTATTTATTTATTTTTATGTGATATGTAGTAAGCAGAAGAGAACAAAACTCCTTAGATCTGAATGTGACTATTTTTTTTTTATTCAACTTGTAAAACAAATACAGTCAAAAACTCGACCTGATAGAAAATTGTTACTGTAGCCTATAGTAACGTGTAATACCATGGACCAATATGTCAAGAGGCCTGCTAATCGCGATACAAGACAGCGCAGCGTAGTCTGGTATCTAAATACCACTATATATATACTACACTATATACTAATACCTATTGGTAGACCAAATGTCGCGACGAGTATCGTATTGATACGAGTAAAATATTGTTTGCATTCATAGTCTGGATGAGCCAAATCAATATTGTGGAAATTGACTGGGAATGAAATCAATATAGATAAGCATAAAAAATTTTAGACGAAAATTTTTAGAGGTAAATGGTAAAAAAGGGTATGCTTTAATATATTAATCTATCTATTGTCGGTTTATTGCAAGAAGTTATTAATTGCTATTTAATTTATATGGCAATTAATGGGTTCTTGCAATAAGCCGATGCCACACTCCATACAACAGTCGAAAATTATTTACGTACTACTACTACATACAGCAAGGCGCTATCTGCACACGCGCCAATGTGCGTGAAGTGGCAGGGTTACCCATCACTTTCTCTCACTATTACGTCACGTGGTCAGAGCAGCAACATAGCGAAAATTCTGACGCGAATCTGTTATCTATGATTTATTAATAGAATCCTGATAATTATACCTAATAAATACCTAATAGACATGTACATCGATATATTATTATATTCGTCATTAATGCACTAACTAGAGTAATATTGAAGATTTATTTCAAAAATATATCAAAAGAACTTAAAATGTTATATTTCGGACATGTACATATATACTTTTAAGTAAGGTAACCAAGGTATTTTTAAATTGCTTGTCTAAGTTTAGTTAATAATTAGATATATTCACTGCCTACGTAATATTTATCGGCAATACGAATGGAAAATTCGCGAAGTCATGGCGTCTCATTATATTGATATAATAAATCTATGTTTTTTATACATACATATATTACTCTGCAGTAAATAAATGAAGAAAACAATAACTGAATGAGTCTCAGACATAAGTTTTTTTTTACTTACTTCGTTTCATTTTTCGGAAAATGATGATAAACAGCCGTAATAGTAACGTAAAATGATGTTTTATATCAACATACAAGTTTCGTAATGAATAAATGAAACCTATATTCAAATATTAAAGCCATCTTCGCGCGAAAACGGCTCACCGCCCGCCAGCCTTCTAGTCGTTTAGTCAATGTGACCAGCAATGTACGGGGCGTGGTGTGGTATCTAAAACTAGGGAAGGGCGGAGAGTGTCCATTCTCTTATTCTTTATTCTCTGCCGACACTATTATCATGGGGTATCAATCCATACAAATTAACTGCAGTTCTTATTTAAAATTGTAGATGGCGACACTTGGACAAAATGAAAAATATTAAGTATTTAATCTCCAAAATTTTAGATATTTCGTATTAAATAAGAAGTACAAAATATAAAAACGAAAAGTAAAACGATTTAAACAACATTTTAGGAGCGATCAATTAAAATTTATTTACAATTTTGAAAATTGGTGAAAACAAAAGGTTGTTGAAAAGATCGAAGGTTTTTCAATAGATTACTTTTGACGTGATAGTTTGCCATAAATTGTATAGATGGCACTTTTTTGAATTTATTCAAGAACTAAGTAACGTTTAGTTTTTCACGAGATAATATTGTATCATCTATTATATATATTCCGGATTTATAATTAATGAAATAATATAATGAATACAATTTATTTAATGACATCGTGAATTTTCATATAAATTCAACAGTTTAGTGTTAAGGAAATAAGGTAATTTATTTATTTTCTACGAATTTTGAAGCTAACATAACGCTTGATGTGTCAATGTCAAATTTTTAAACTTTCATAATCGTTTACGGTTCTTTTGTGTATGGTTTGTGGAATTTTTCTTTTTTTTCGATATTGATGTGACCTTCAACGACTACTTTGAAATTGGACTTGTTTGATACTCGCACCACGCTACCCGGCTAACTCTTACTTATCTGACGTGACACGCTCAACATACGACCCTGCTTGTAAACGGACTTGGAATTTGCCTTCAGATTGGAATATCTTTGGAAAATGGCCCCGTCCAAGTGTGCCTACTTTAATTGCCATAATAAAGCCAGCCAAAAGTCTATGTTTCGTTTCCCGACGAACAACTACAATCTCTTACAAATTTGGCTCGCGAATTGTGGTAAGTTTTTTTCCTTTGTTTTAAAGATGTGAGATATTTAATCACTAATCACGATATTCTGATGTTATTTTCTTTATTCTACATATCTGCTATTTGTTTTAGGTAATATGACTATTACTCATCTGAAACCAGAACAATTACGTAACAAATGCATATGTATAGACCACTTTGCTAAAGAATATGTTAAAAATGAAACTGCTCAAAGGGTAAGATTATCAAAATTAGCAATACCAATGCCGTACAAAGCCACTGAAACGAACTCTCAAGAATCACCAATACAATCAACATCTCGAGAATCACCTGAACCATCGACATCCAAAGGTACTTATCATTGACCTACCAACAAATGGACAACGGGTCTAATACACAAACCACAAAAAAATGTCCAGAATTAACCTATACATATAAGCGTAGTGATATGTAATGAAATATAAAAAAACTAAAACACTTCATTTAAATTGTAATGTCATTACAATTTAAAAAAGAATTTAAAGGCCCAAAAATTCGACATATTCAGCTTCTACTGGAAACTTAATAACAAAATGCGCCATTTTTAGCTTCTGGTGCAAACTACTTGAACACTCTTTTCTGTCAATATTCATTATTATATATGTTAATATTATGTTGAATTTTGTACAAAATTCACTTAAAGAAATAATAAAGAGTGGTGCAGATACATACAATTATTATAAATGTGAAAATAACTGTGTCTCTCTATTAGTTTTACTTGACATATTATAAGAAATATTTCAATGTTTCAAATTTTAGATTCCAACTAAACGTCAACAAAAATTTTCATAATCTCAAAAATCGATTTATAACAAAACCATTATGCTCTCAGTGAATTTTGGTTGCTTTTCACAAAGAAAAGTTTAAGTGTACATAGGTTTGTTTTGTAATATGGGCCATTCCAAAGTGACGGGTGGGACATTTTGACTCCTTTTTTCTTGAAGTTTAAGTAATTTCTCCCTAACCATTGGTTAATTAGACTTAAAATGAAAATATCATGAAGCCAGATGTGCAATTCAACTGCGACTATTTATTTACATAATTTTCTAATTGTTACGGGTGGGACACTCACAACACCCGGCTGTTTGAGTTGATGGATTCATTTTTTTATTATATGATTACTTGAATGTTAAGAATTCTATTTTATATATACACTTAATTAATAACTTTGATAAATTTTAAGGAAATTAATATGTTAAGTTGTGACGGGTGGGACGTGAGTTTGTGACGAGTGGGACGAGTTATAGTTGAGTACACAGAATTAATCAAATTACATTGCTTAATATGAGGTCCATCTTAGTAGCAAATATTTCATAATTTTTGTCTTATTAAGACATTTTAACACAAAAAAAACAAAGGACTGATACAGTAATCCTATTATTTTTCTTGAAACACTATCTATGACGACATGAAATCAAAGTCACGCAAGTAAAATGCGTTAATAAATTTGAAAAATCCTGCCACATCCTTGAAGATTATGTATCATATCAAAATATATCAAATTTTAGAAATTGTACTGAAATATATAGTTAAAACTAGTGGAAACAGACTTCATGAATTTCCTGATACTAAAAATCATCAGGAAAAATGTTGTACTTTTTAATTGTCTTTTTTTATGTCTTAAAATGTCTTAATTATAAGAATTATAAAAACATTGCTTACAAATGATGGTTCTACATATAAACAGTGTATTTTTTTAAATTCTATGTATTCAAATGTAACTTGTCTCACCTGTCACAAGATGGTGTCCCAAATGTCACAATTTAATACAACAAATGTTTAACCCTGAAATTAAAGCAACTGTTACATCTAGTAAACATAGTAAAAACTCGAATCCTTGAAAATAAAAACATTTAGTCAAAGTAAAAACGTTTAGAAGTGTGTCCCACCCATCGCTGTGCACCCGTCACGTCACTTCTAAATCTTAATTTTATATATAATATAATAATATAATTTAAATTCCTATTTACGTGCACAATGCCCAACCAAGCCAAAATAATGACCGTAGCATATTTGTTACTATATATGATTCATATAAAATATGAATTATTAATAGTCCTTTAATAACAAATAATTTTATATTACAGCTCAAGAATTTTCTCCAGAATTAAAGGTTAAAACACCTACAAAAGTTTACAAAAGTTTTAAATCGAAAGAAGATCAGGAAGAAGAAACTTTCGTTATAGATAATGTTAGCACACCCAAATCTAGAAAACGTCAGATTGACAGAGGTGATGATGGTGATACTCCAAAGTGCAAGAAGCTAAAAAGTAGCATTAATCATGTTACTAAAACTCTAAAGAAAGAAAAAGATAAATACAATAGATTGCGCAAAAAAATGTATGGTAATAATATTGTAAATATTGATAAATTTGCATTTAAAAGTGAGACCTCAAAAGTACTAACTTTAATGCAATTAAGAAAGAAAAAGAAGGAATGGAGTGAAGATGAAAAAAAATTTTGTCTTGGACTATATTATAAATCACCAAGTGCCTACAAACACTTGCTAGAAGCTGGTGTAGTTTTGGCTGCACCCTCGACTATCCAACACTGGTTACAGGACACTAGCTGTTTTCCAGGAGTAAACAAAAGCATATTTAACAATATCGCAGATAAATTTAATGGGAAAACTATTAAAGAAAGAGCATGTACAGTTTGCTTTGATGAAATGGCAATCATGTCAAGTTTAGAGTACACAAAAAAATATGATCTAATAGAAGGCTTCGAAGACTTTGGAGAAAATGAGCGATCATGTGTTGATGCCAAATATGCACTAGTATTTATAGCTAGAGGTATTTATAGCAGCTGGAAAATGCCTTTAGCATACTTTTTGGCTGGTAAAACAGTCAGTGCAGAAAAATTAGTAGATTTAGTTCAAAAAATTATAGATATTCTGTTTGAAAGTAATTTATTGCCAAAGGCGATCATATGTGACCAAGCCACCACCAATGTGAAAGCGATTAAAATGCTTGGAGTAACTATAGAAAATCCCTTCTTTTTTGTAAATGGCAGAAAAGTCTTTTCGATTTTCGACACTCCACATTTGATAAAAAACATAAGAACGAATCTTTTAAAAAATATTTTTTTAACAAATGATGGCGAAATTTCGTTCAGTGATATTGTACATGTTTACAATATAGATAAAAATAATAAAAGCAGAACACTGAAGAAACTTACGCCAGTTCACCTGAATCCCAACACATTTCAAAAAATGAAGGTGAGCTTTGCTACACAAATATTTAGCTGTTCAGTTGCGGCAGCAATTAATACGGCCGTTGAAAGTGGAGAGTTGGTGAATAATACAGCAAAAAACACTGCAAATTTCATCCAATTAGTGAATGATATGTTTGATTCTCTAAATTCAAAAAATAAATTTGACAAGAACCCATATCGATGTGGTATAACAAAAAATCTTGGTTCTAAGGTTCATGTAACACTTTCTACAGCAAAAAGAGTTTTTGCTGAACTAAAAAAGATTTCAGTTGACAAGAATGGGGTGAAAAAATTAACAGCTCCTCCCTGTTTTGATGGCATTCAACAGACAATTAATGCAATACTTCAGCTGTCATCTGAGGAGTTTTCGGTTGGAAGCGGAGTTAAATTTATTTTGACATATAGGTTTAACCAAGATGTCATTGAAAATTTATTTGGAGTCTACAGAATGAAAGGAGGCTGTAACAAGAACCCCACTGCAAAAAATTTAAGAGCAATGTTCAGAAGCCAATTACTGAATAATTTAATAAAATTACCTAACAAAAATTGTGAGGATGATGAAGACATATTTTTAGCAGGAAAAAAATGTGATTCACGATCCCAACAGGTAAAGGGTGAACACCCTGCAGCAAATATGAACCAAGTGGAAGAACCTCCTGCGATGCTAGAGAGGGTAAACACACAAAGTGTAAAAATAGAAAAAGACGATGCTGCTACAACAGGTACTACCCTAGAAAAATGTTCTGTTATTTATTTCGCAGGTTGGATTGGTAAAAAATGTATTGAACGATTTAATTGTGATGAATGTAAAAAAACACTTTTAAAAGATGATGTTGATTTAAATGACAAAAATCAGTTACTTTTAATTAATAAAACATATGCCAATATTGAAATACCTACATTAAAGTCTCCCACCGATTTTTTATATAAAATAGTAGATACATCCTTGACAATATTTGAAAACCAAATGGACAGTATTAGTTTCAAAGAAAAAGTCTTATACACTCTAATAAAAAAAAATGAAAAAGAAATTGATTATTCTACATTTCACCTTAAAGAACATTTACAATACGTAATTGAAAAATTAATAGAAACAAAAATTTATGATTATTGTAAAAAAAGGAAGAAGTCAATGAGAGAAAAAGAAACAATGAAAATTAGAATAATGCAACATAATTGATAGCTCTGGGCGGAACCTTTTTTAAGTTTGTACCATTTCTATTGTCTTAGATAATGTTATTACATTTTGTGAATAAACCAGTTCTTCACTCATGAAAAGGTTTTTGTTTTATTTATTACATTTACAAAGATGAAATTATCACCGGTAATAACTCACCCCCATATATAAATATATATAAATTTATCATAATTGTCAGTGTTAATTGTTAATCAAAAACATTAAAAATTGATTAATTGTTAATTGTAGATATAGGCGATTAACGATTGATCAATTTAATTGTGGTTTAATTAATTTAATTAAGTTGTTTGTTAATTGTGGTTCTCGCAACTATTGTCAATCTTTAATTGCCAGAACAATTAAATTTTGCCCGACCCTGCTATATACAAAGGGCTTCCCCTCGACTATTATGTATGTGGGGACTTCCCGTACTTTTAATATTGTATAGATAGGATATTTTGCTGCTGCTTATTGCTGACATTATTTTGTTTTTAAAAGTAAGTAATACATGTATTGCTATACCGAAGACTTCTAAATGAAGTATCACCGAAAACCACATCCAAATTGGTTCAGCCATTATGGAGATTAAGCATGTGCAAATGCACCGAAAAATTATAAAAATTTATATTATAAGTTATGTAGCATGTCTTCAGTAAGTATTGACTTTTACTTAAAAATATGAAATGTACAGACTCGGCTTCTTTACGACTTATTACAATAATAATTATTGTATTATCAGATTATCACGGAGTAGGTACCTATATATGTCGTCGTCGTCGGTGTTAAGGTAAAAGTAATCCTCCCCTATATTGAATAGGCGTATTATTTATTGAAATTTGAGTTGGTACAACATTGACGACAAACTATTATTTCATTCATTGCCACAAATGATTGTCTCGAAAAATAGTATTGTAGTTGTGTTTTTATTATAGGTACTTATACTTTAGCCATTTTAAAAATAAGAATGAGTCTATTGTATATTTTGGAAAGTTTAGAAAATAAGTGGTAAAAAAATAAATTTTAAACGCGTTGATGACGAAATGGGTATCTCCATACTAAGACAACATTCAATACTTTAGGCAAATTATTATCTCCCTCAATTCGATCACTGTGGATGCGAACGGTGCGGTTTATTCAAACGTCAAGGCCTCGCCACAAGTGCAATAACCTTAACAAAAAATATAACAGGTGCCATCTGTTGGCCTTCTCAAATATTATTACAATCGCATCGTGGGTTTATGTGGTACCATCTATTGACCACCGATCAGAATCAAAATAAGCGTCCGAATAAGCGGAGTTATGAGTGCGACATTTTCTTGTATGAGATTGAGTATCTGTACTAGTATAGTATTGTATTATCTGTGCTATTATCTTTTCTTATCCTTATACATCAGATTCTAAGATTTTTTTCTAGGATCTAGGATCTTTCATATTTTATTTCTGTACAGAATGTGAATTAATTTAGGAACCTAAAGTAGGAATGACATATTAGAAAACTCTAAAACAAGTTTTTATTAATCTATTTTAAGTTTAATAGTAATCTTCTTAAGACAATGTCTTCAATATGCTTAGCAGAGTAAAAAGTCAAATATTCATATAAATAGTCACTACATTCCATTTATAATACAAACTTCAATTTACTTACAGACAAGATGTCATCAATAAGCACCAGGATGTACTGGATGGTGTGGTCCTTGCTAATGTGCGTGAGAAGATTGAGAAAAACTTCAGCGCATTGTTCAGGATTCTTATCTGGCAAATCCTTCATGCCACGCTGATCCAGGTTCACTATAAAGTCATGATCATGCTGGGTGATCATCTGGCCCCTGTTGTTTGAAATTGAGTAGTTTTTTAGTTGTATAACTTTTAGATACCAGGGACTCAAATAAATGATGCAAGCAGAGATAATATGCTATGATGGACGTTCTGTATAGTATATAAGATCCATTTTCTCCTTCCCCCCTGACCACATCCTTTACCAATCCTATTTTTTTCCCTTCCCCTCCGCCAATCTACGGCTGCCGTGCCTATGGATGCGTGGCTAGGGGCATGCCTAGTCGAACCAAGAAATAGGTTAGCTTTACCCTGGCAAGCGGGCCACTGCCAGGATGGACATATATTTTTCCCCAGCTTCTCGTAGGACTGCAATGTTTAATTTGTTAAATAGCAACCAAAATGGCGGCGATGTGGTTCGCCACCCGTCACGACTCGGTTTCCGTGGGGGCGGAAAGTGGACAGCAGAAAGCCACTTTGCTACTTTGAATGTTAGAGGAGGGATGAATGATAAAATAGAAGAAGTATGTAAGATGATGAATGAAAGAAGAATTGATGTTTGTGTGAATGAGACGAAGAGAAAAGAATACGGATGCGATAAGACCACGCATGGATCATACACAGCGTACTGGTCAGGAATGTCCGAAAAAAGCAGAGGGTGCCAAGGTGTTGGCGTATTTTTTTTCTTCTAGAATGAATGAATGTGTTCTTGAGTTTGAGTGTGTAAGCCCTAGACTCCTATGGGTGAAGTTGAAAGTTGGGCTGACTCGCATCTTTATTTTAGGGATTTATGCTCCGACAGATACGGGTTCAAAGCAGATCACCAAAGCCCAAATAGAAAGAGAGGAATTTTGGGACAGTGTATCTCTTACATAATGGTTTTGAATAAAAGTCAACAAAATGAAATGAATGAATGATTATCATGTTAGAAGATTTCAATGGATGGCTGAATGTGTGAAGGTGAAGGTGTGAAGCGTGATCGATATGAAAATGTGCTTGGAACGTTTGGAGATGAAAGAGTGAACGATAATGGAAAGAGTCTGCTCGAAGTATGTTTGGAGTGGAATCTTTTAGTGACAAACACCATGTTTCAACACAAAAAGATCCACATGTATACAAGAGCAGAAGGAAGTTTGAGGAGTATGATAAATTTTGTAATAGTGGATGAAAGATTAGGAAAAAAGGAGCTTGACACACGAGCATACCGCGGAGTTGGTATCGATACCGACCACTTTCTGGTGGTTAGCCGAATAGGTGGTCTTTTTAAAAGGTGGCGGCATCGAGTGAAGGAACCTGATAGTGTGCTAGAACGAATAAAAGTTGAGAATTTGCAGAAGACAGATGTGAAAAATGAATATGTGAGTAAACTGATTGAAAGGTTTGATGGACTAGACGAAGTATGTAGAATTGAAGATTTGTGGAAGCTATTTAAGGAAGGAATGGTAGAGGTCGCTACTGATGTATGTGGAGTATCCAAAAGGAAAAAAGGGCTGAAGACGAGGAATGTTTGTTCGGATGAAGATGTCCGGAATGTTCTGTCTGATAAGAAGAAAGCGTGGTTAGATTGGTTATCTATGAAAGCTAATGAAAGAATACAAAAGGCAACGAAAGAGGATGTAAACGAGGCAAGGAAAGAGTATAAAAGAATAAAAGATGTAGCGAAAGATGTTGTGGGAGGGAAGGAAGAAAGAGTGCCAGAAAGACGAGTTTGACAGGAGATTATCTGATGACTTTCAAAGCAACATTAAGTGGTTTTGGAAGTCCTTAAGAACAGGTAGAGGCAAAATCACAACCTCGCAACTGCAAAAATCCGAGGCCACGATGGAAGTAAGAAGATAGTGAAAGGAGAAGAATGCGTATTAAACAGATGGAAGGAGTATTTTGAAAGTTTCTTTGAGAAGGAAGATGTACAAATGCAGGCTCAGATCGCCATAGAGACGAGCAGAAGTCAAAATGAAAGTATAAGCATGGAAGAGATTGATAGAGGCATTGAATACTATGAAATCTGGTAAAGCTGCGGGATATGACAAAATTGCTGTTGAAATGCTGAGGGCTGGACAGGATGTGATCGCTAGTCAGCTGTACCGCCTTATCAACCTTTGTTGGTCAAGCAGCCGAGTGCCAGGAGACTGGGGCAAGATTGTCATTATACCATTATATAAGGGAAAAGGGTCGCAGCAAGATTGCAAAAAATTACCGCGGAATCAGTCTTCTCAGCATTGTCGGCAAATTATATGCAAAGGTATTGATTGAGACAGTGATGAAAATTTAGGACGTGCAAGCGGGATTTAGAAGAGGAATGGGATGCATGGATCAGGGCTTCTCCTTGCGAAACATAAGCGAAAAGTTCTTGGCTAAAAGACAAAAAGTCTATTGCTCTTTTATAGACTTGGAGAAGGCCTACAACAGAGTGTCAAGGAAAGAATTGTGGTCGACATTGCCTATGTATGGGGTGGACGGCAGTCTAGTTCAGGCACTGAAATCTCTCTATGAGGATTCCAGCGCCTGTGTCAGAATAATTGGTGCTTACACTGACTGGTTCAATATCGGGAAAGGTGTTAGACAGGGATGTGTATCGTCGCCATGGCTGTTCAACCTAATTATGGATAATTGTTTGAAAGTTTTGAAAGAGAGTATGTGTGGACTGAGACTGAATGGTTTAATCATTAAGTGCCTCCGCCTATACGCCGATGACCAGATGGTATTAGCGTCGTCTGTGGAGGAGTTGCATGAAATAGTAAATATTATGCATGGTGCTCTTAAAAGGAAAGGAATGAAAATTAATGTGGGAAAGACAAAAGTAATGGTTTTTGAAAGAGAGGAAGATATGACTAATTGCACGATATTTATTGAAGGAGAGAAAGTGGAACAAGTGAACGAGTTTGTGTATTTGGGTTCTATGTTTACATGTAATGGAAAATGTGAAAGAGACGTTGAAAGAAGAGTGAATCAGGTGAATGGTGCCTTGCATACCTTCATGGGCAGCCAGAAAGTGTCTAAAAAGGCACGATTAGCTGTGCATGGGGGGGAGGTGGTTCCTACACTTATGTATGGTAGTGAATGTTGGGTTTGGCAGGAGAAGCATGAAAGTAGAATTAATGCAGTAGAAATAAGAACTTTGAGGAGTATGGCTGGAGTGACTCGGATGGATAAATTATGAAACAGTATGATAAGAGAGTGTTGCGGCATGGAAGAAGATATAGTGACAAAGATAGAGAAAGGTATGTTTAGATGGTTCAGACATGTAGAGAAAATGAATGAAAGAAGAGTGACGAAACAGATTTATAAGGCGAGTGTGAGCGGACAAGTTGGTATGGGCCGACCAAGGAGAACTTATCATGGCCAAAATTGAGGCCATTCTAAAGAAGGGCCAGGTCAAGAGTACCCTTAACCGACGAGCGTGTATGAACCATTGATGCGTGTTGATGAGGTGAAAGATGTGTCAGGACTGTATCAAGTGGAAGACTGTTGTCTCTGCCTACCCCGATGGGAAAAAGGCGTGAAGTGTGTGTATGTATGTTTGTGTAACAAGGTTTTACATTATTTATAAAAAGTTATAAATAGATGAGAACAAGCCGAAGGTGATGGAATCAATACTTACTGCAAATAAGACTGCCAGTTGATATGGCTGGAGCGCACTTCGCTAGCCCTTATTTGCAGCACGCTGGTAGCTGCAATCATATCTGGAAAGCATTACATGCCATAAAGCACTCCAATAATGGGTTATAAGCTTATTTGTGTACCACCAAGAAAATTTCTTAGTACTTACCAATCTTGTCATCCCCCAAAAGTGCAGACACTTGCTCCTCACTAACGGTAGCCATTTTGACCACACGACAAAAGATATGCACTACACAAAACAGGAATAAAATCCAAGGGATTTTTTATTCCGAAATCCAGAAAATAAAGAAGAGAGCCTCAGCTGAGAGGTCTTGTGACTATGCAAAGTGAAGTTATTGTAAATGACGATATGACAATTTGCTTACCTTCTCTTACGTACACCTTTAGAGCTGGAAAATGAAAGAGAAAGAAAATAATTATCATGTTGTCAGTCCTCTTTTTACAACAAACATGAAGAAAAATAAGACATTAGTAAAATCGTTCATTAAATGAGATGTTATTTTTTAAATATCAATCGAATTGCAAGTAATTTTTATCAAACTAGTGTAGTAGTTTTTTGATTCACAAAAAAAAATGTAATATCATGGTAGTAAAACATCGTGATAATCAATTACAGTAAATGATAGTTCTGAAATACGGTCCAAAATGGCGGATTTCTGTAGACTAATGGTAATAATGGTTTAAAATGCTCAAGTCAGGACTTCCGTATGGTTAAAAGCGCTAGAAATCATACTCAAGTCCCTGCCATTAGGATCGTATTTCCAGGGCTTGAAATCATGAAATGAAAAAATGATAAATCCTGACTTGAGCATTGAGTAGAGTTCTGAATACGACCCATAATTTTTACACGAATAAATTTTCGGTTTTTTTTATAAGGTTGGACACATACAGTCAGAATCCCGTTTCGAAATTCCATTTCAAAATTTCGAAGGCAGGAAAACCATACAAATCATTGACTTATTACACACATACAGTGTTAATCCGTTCGAATTGTTTTCCGATTCGAAATTCCGTATGGTGGCTGTGCATATGGAATTTCGCACGGAAAAAGCCGTTCATACAAGTCTTCCATAGATTTTGTAGGGCTATTTTCGCTGTGAGAACATCTGTCTCCTTGTGAGCATGGTGTTCTGTGATCTGTATACTAATGCCTTGAGTCTGTCAGCTGAGTGTTTATTCCGAACGGAAATAAACGTGTGTGTGTGTGTGTGTGTGTGGTGTATATACGAAATCTCGATTGATATGCCGAAACGGAATTCCGACTGTACGTGGCCGGCCTAAGTAAACATCTGTCATATCGTATAGTCATGTGATGTAGCGTTTTGTTGACATTCATCACTTGTCATTTGTCATTAGAAACTTAAAAAACAAAGTTCGATATGGAAATAATTAGTTAACTACGGGAATAAAGGCGGCAAATTAAAATACTTACGGTTGTATGGATCGGATTCAGGTAAATTTGGTTCAAATTGTTGGTGGCGAAATTTGCTTCTGCTCATCTTGGGTGCGTTGCTATAAAGAATATACACAGGTTAAACTGTTGAAATTTTGCCTTAGTGACTCATAACCAATTATTTTTGGGATTTAATGGTTTGTGTTACAGATTCATAATTTGCGAATTGTGCTGGCAAAGTGACAGATTCGTTTTAAAATAAATTTGGGCAATGGCCAGTTCTTTTGTCATGACTGCCTTGCAAACAGGAGATGACTGTCAAACTAATGACACAAATAACTGTTTTCCGATTGAATCATTACGATTCCCATTAGATAGTTCAATGCGGATTGTTTTTACTGGCTACTATAATGGATTCAGTGTCGAGGTGAGGTCTGCAGATGAGGTGGCCTTACTGTATCATATGGGATGCTTTGGCAAAGGTTCGGCGTCCCGTTCGAAGCCAAGGGCTAGCCACAATGATGGCAGCCCCTGTATAATGCGCAAGAGGCAATTCCTCAAGCGAAACTACTGGTATAAAAAATTTGGGGGGCCTAGGAAATGTTCGGAAGCAGATACTTTTCTGAAAGAGATAGAAGAACTGAGTACTAAAATAAAAATTGACAGCAATAAAAGGCAAAGGAAAGATGTAATTGACTTGGTATCCAGTGAGGAAGAAATGAGTGAAGATAATGAGTTTGAAAGTTCACAAATAGATTTTTTAAGGTTTGATCAAAAAGAAGATACTGTGGTCATTGTGCCTAACAGTGATTCTGAAGATGAGAATTACTTTGCCAACTTGAAACCTAAATGTTGCATAAATAAGATTAAATTGGAGGAAAAATTGATGCTTACTTTACAAGAATCATTTTTCTTATTGTATGGCCTGGGTTGCCTACAAATAGTGAATGATAACAAGTTGCTGAGTATAAAGGAAACTTGGGATCTTTTTGTTGTGACTGACAAGAACTTCATTCCAAAATATGTTGTTTATCACTACTTTAGGTCTAAGGGATATGTTGTGAAACCTGGTATCAAGTTTGGAGGTGATTATTGTAAGTAGTTCTTTGAATGTAGCAAAATAATACTTCATATTTGGAAGTTCTACATCATCTTGTTTGTTACAGTGCTATATAAGGATGGACCTGGAGTTAATCATGCAGAATATATTGTAGTCATAAGGCCAGACTCAGGGGAGGATTGGACTTCAATTCTGGGCCATGTTAGAATGGCTACCACTACAGTAAAGGTCTATATGATACAGTAGTTAACTTACAAAGTATCCAGAAAATAAATAATATTGTACTGCAATTTGCTGAGATTTCCAGATTCTCTCTACTTTCCTAAAATTATATAAGCTACTATTATATGTATGTGTATTGAAGTTGCGAAGTCGATTATGAATGTGAATCTATTTGTACTATCTACATAATATTTTCAGTGTTTTGTAGAAAGGGTGAAAGCACCATTTTGAATTTTTTTTCAGGGGAATGTGTTTTAGTGTTTCACGATTTTGACTGTTTTAAAATATTTATATCCTGTTTTAAATTCAATTTTAAACATAAACTTAATTAAAACAAAATTCAATTTTAAAACAGAATGTAAATATTTTAAAACAGTGGTTAAAACCTAAAACATGCTACCATGAAAGTTTTTTCAAAATAGTGCCTTTCCCCTTTCTACAAAACACCGATGATATATACCTTAAATAGCCAACAGTGGTGTACCATGACACTTTATTTCACTAATGTAATTTCAGAAAATCTTAATTGTGGAAGTTATACAACCAATACAGGATCTCCAAAACTTACCTGAAGACTTAAAATTATACCAAGTAAGGGAAACAATATTGTCACGGAAGATTCCAGTTACAATAAACAATGATGTCGAATGAACAATTTTTTTATATTTACACTAGCCTAATAATAACATGTATACATATTATGGGTATAATAAATTACATTTAGTGTGACAAGAATCGTAATGAATATGATTGAAATGAGGCAAAAAGTGCTAAGTGACAGATTTAAACTGTTATAACAAGTGTTCCAAGACTAAACATGCAAAACTACATAAGTATAACCTACGACATTGAACAAAAAAGTTACAATCAATGATTGATGCTTTGATGGCAGCTTATTGGTGGTCATACTTGCATGTCATAATCATAGGAACAATTGACATAGTACAATCTTGCTCAAATATAAAACGAAGGTTGTATTTAATTTATCATCAAAGTTTTTCTATACAGAATCTGCCAAAAAACTCTAATCTTTTAGAAAGTACACTCCTGGGGTCTACTCTCCATCTCTGTCCGAAGCAATTACTGCCAAATAAGCAATACTTGACCAAATGAAAAGACGCATGATGCGAATGAAGCTTCATACTGGATACTTGACTTTTAATTTTGTTGAAAATTACTTATTTGACAGTAATTGTTTCAGATGGAGATCGAGAGTAGACCCCCTGTTTATCATACTATTTAAAAAGACCCTTGTCAGACTATATTTAATTATGCTCTTTTAATTGGTTTCTTTATTCCAGTTTTTCTATATTCACTTCTTTCTTTCAAGTATTCTTCTGTGCACGTATTTCTGAACTCTTCATTTTGATACCAACTAGTCAGACAATCTTTGAGTGCTGAGTTTTGCTTCCTACAAGATAAGACCATCATTAAAGAAGAATCTTTACAACATTGTTCGAATTCATGCACTTCAGGGGCACATTTTTCCTTCTTTGCTTTTTCTCTCATGAGCTTTGGTATCATAACTTCTACTTCCACTTTTCTGAGCGACCTGTCTTCAGGGTCACCTGCAAAATACCACACTGTTAATTATGAACTTCTAAATAAAAAAATAGTAGTCATTTAGTAATAAAAAGCATGGAGGGGTTGTTTTATGATTTACTAACCTAAGCCCTTAGGACCGGCCGAAAAGTTGCCAGGTAAAACTGATTTTTCGGTAGCCATTGTTACTGTGATTATAATTTGCCAAATAGCCGTGTTATCTTAGATTTTTGGATCTGAAAAAAGTCCCAACAAGAAACCAATCATGTTATTTTATTTGACAAGCAAATGACAGTGAGTGACAGCTCTGTTTAAGTTTAGAAAGATATGATGTACCTCTGAATTAGTATATAGTAATCTGTGCTCTGAATTCTGAAAGATATTGGCATACTATACAATGTATTAGGACACGCACTGTAAAGCTTTAAGGGGATGTTCAGTATTGAATATGTGGAAAACACCAGTTCATGTGGGGTCAAAACTCGACTCCCTAGGAATGGCAGCCATTTTGTTTTTTATACTTAATTTTCTAGATGAATGCTCTAAAATTATCATATAACGAGAAGTAAAAGCAGTACGAACGTATAAAATATTGTTTCGAAAAGCTAAGATTAGCGGCAATTGAATAAAATATCTATGAGATATGCAAAAAAGTAGTAAACATTCTAAAAAACATAATTAATTAGTTAAGCTACAAGTTCTTACTCCCTGATAGAAATAGAACGCATACTTCCCGATATGGTGGAAAAAAAATATTTATACCGTTGTACGTGGATAGGCTCCAAAGCAAAGAATCAAATATGAGAGGACCTGAATGTGGAAAATATGAAAGAGAAATCAACGGCCTGCAAAAACTATAATACATGGGGGGGATTTTTGTGCATTTTTAAGAGATACACCCTGGTTAATTTTCGCGGGAAGTAAAAAATGTTCGAAATTCAAATAAACAAGGTGGCCGCCATACAAATTTCAAAGCCTCCTATCACGGAAACTACAAGAGATAGGAGGTGCTCGAAGGAAAGTCATAGAAGGTAACACTGGTCAACTGCCTGGGTTAAAAAAAATCAAGATGGCGATTTAAAAATGGCGGCCGAAGAAAATCTTGCTTCGATCCGGCTGAAAATTGGCATGCGAGGGTCTTTAGGAGTCCTTAATCATAATTTGGGGTCAAAAATTTCTTTTCGCCATTTTTTAATATGGCTGCCATATAAGTGTTTTTTTTTTCGTTAAAAATAGCTGCCGAAAGAGATTTGCTCATTCGACTGAAAATTGGCATGTGAAGGCCACTAGAAATAATTTGTGCTCAAAATTTGTTTTTCGCTATTTTCAAATATGGCCGTCATAGAAGCGTTCGTTGGCGGCAGAAAAAAAATGGCTCAGATCCCTTTGAAAATTGGCATACGGGGGACTCTAGGAGTACTTCATAATAATTTCTCAATTGAATAAATATTTAAAACAATTAATGTCAATTTTTAATAAAAAACTGCCAAAAAAATATATTTTTGTAATTTAATCGTAAAATAATCAAAATAAGATAATGTTTTTGTGTGTCAATTCTAAACTATTTCAGTTGTTCTTAAAACAAAACCAAAATCATCTCTCGTATTAACTGAGTTAAAATCGTAGATTTAGTTTACACTAATTTAAAAAACTAGAATTTAATATGTACTAAATCTATGGTTAAAATAAACTTTTTGTTTCAACCTTCCACAAGAAAAAATTCTAGTGGATTTAAATAGACTTTAAGGCTTTCGTGGTTATTCACTAAATGATTATCACTAATTTCAGGCTTCTTACCACGGTATGACTTCTTTTTATTTTCCCGATATTTCGGAACGCTTGCACGCTCCTTGGTCACGGGTTGAATAATAATGTTCTGTGGGTTGACAGGACGACGGCAGATGACAGCATCTTTCTAATTTGTGGATGACAGCTTTTAGGGCAGACATATCTGTCTATCCCTTAGACTTCTTTTTTTTCCATCCTCTAAGGTCTATCCTCTTGCGCTGTCGACGACTAGTGCCTTCATCGCGATTTGTTGTGGCGTTACCATTGTTGCTTCCTTTTTTCCCACAAACCACACTCACTGTATCCATACGCAAAACGACAGACGAACGTGAACTCGAGGTGTTTTTGTTTTTATTATTGCACGCACTGAGAACCAGATTCCATGCACAGAGTCACGATGTATTGCCTGAGTAGAAAGTAACAACTGACTGTTATTAGTTAAATGAAAAGAGCCGTTAGAACCCCTGGAACTTTTTTTTCAATCAGGATCAAGATGCTTGGGGCTTGTCATTTGTCCCTTTTACATTTGCAAACTAGGCAGAGTGAGCCAGGTATTTGCTGTAATAAAGTTTTAAATAAAGTTTTATTAATGTCTAATATTATTTTTTATCAAAACTCAATACTCAAGAATAATTCAGGATAAGAAATGTTCCAATTTTGCAAACATAGTTTTTTAGTAAAATTTACTCCGTTTGCACATTAATAGCAATAATTTCATATTTACATTAGATACAATGAGAAATGATACCATTTTCAAAATTCTCATTAAACCTACATTATTTTAAAGTACTTGGCCACACAGGTTATCATACTTTTTTTTTATACAGAAGGCGCGTAAACTTCGTAAAAAATAAATTATTTCTCTGAAAAATGAAGTTAAACTTTTTTTTTTAAATGTACATTACTTACTCATACCATTTACTGCTTATCTAAGGACACAGTTAACGTAGAACATTATGACACCAAAAAACCAAATAAATTCATTCATTTGTAGTCATAGTGCACAAAAACCTAAAATAAGATAAAAATAATTAACTTTTAAGAAAAAAAAACATTCCTTAGGTACTACATAGGATACATTTTCTTTTTGCATTTTTTTTGGAACAGTCCTAAGCTGTGTTATAAGCCATTCAGTATGATACATTCATTACCGGACACCCTGTATATATGTATATAGTGTTATATACATATATACAAAAAACACACTTTTTTGGCAGTTTTTGTTAAAAATTGACAGTAATTATTTATTTTTAGAATATTTCCCACTTTTTGCATACCTCACAGATATTTTATTCAATTGCCACTAATTTTAGCTTTTCGAAAAATATTTTTTTTGTACTGCTTTTACTTCTCGTAATACGATAATTCTAGAACATTCACCTAGAAAACAAAATATTAAAAATAAAAATGGCCATTCCTAGGGAGTTAAGTTTTGACCCACATGAGCCGGTGTTTTCCACATAATATTCAATACTGAACATTCCTTTAAAGTTTGTACAGTGCGTGCCATAACATGTCGTATAGTGTTGGGTCATGGAAATATTTTTCAGAAAAATAAGTAATAAAACTTGAAAGATATTTCTAAACGAAGAACATACATACTCAACAGTGCTATTGGGTAACTTTCCAAAAACTTTTAAATAGTGAAAATATTTGATGAAACATTGATAAAATATATTTTCGAATATAATATATTTTAAGTTTTTGTTATGTAAATAATAAAGGATATGCAAGTATAAATGAATATTATTATATATTTAATAAGTAGAGCAAGTTTAAATGTAACAGTATATACATGAGTGACAAGAGTGAAAAATAACAAGTCAGACTGTAGCCATAGTACGTCCATGTAGCAACCTACAGCACAGACAATGAAGAGTGATAGAATATGCATTCTCTTCACACCCTCTGAACTTTTAAGAATTTGGTAATTCTATTTAGAAATTCTTTTAAGTCCAATTTTTCCACTCAAATCTTCCAATCTTGGACCGTACAATGGCTTAGTGAGCATATCTGCCAATTGTGTTGTAGATGGAACTTGTTTCACTAGTAGTTCCCCATTGGTGACACACTCACGTACAAAGAGATGCTTGAGTTTAATGTGTTTAGTACGTTTGTGATACTCATATTTTGGATTATGAGATAGTTTCACAGCCGATTCATTGTCCAAGTAGAGTACTGGTTTTTCTAAGCAGATTATATCCTTTAATAGGGCATTCAGCCACAATATTTCTTGTGCGGTTTCACTGGCAGCCATTATTTCTGCCTCTGCCGACGAGATTGAGACAGTCCCTTGTCTTTGGCTTCTCCAGCTTAAAGCGGCTCCGGAGTACATGCAAACGTATCCCGACGTCGATCGTCCAGTTGTTTGATCGCCAGCCAGGTCTGCATCACTGTAGCAAACTAAATGTGGAGGTGACTTCGCCGTAAACGTAAGGCCATTGTTTAGTGTCCCTTTTAGATACCGGAATATACGTTTAACCAGTACAACATCCTTTCTTTCAGGTGCTCCAAGGTTCCTAGACGCAACACCTATAGCGTATGAGATATCTGGTCTAGTGCCCACTGATAGGTATGCCAGTGCACCAACGGCTTGTCTATAAGGAAATTTTCCATTTGCTTCCTCTTCCTCTCCCGTATAATCTTTCGTTATAGGAGTTGGTGCTGCTTTGCAATTAGTCATGCCGTATTTTTGTAGCACTTTCTTTGTATAGGCTTTTTGAGAAATTGTGATAGTGTGATCGTCGCACACGTTAATTTCCATTCCTAGAAAATAAAGAGGCAGGTTTGGTAGTAATTTTAAATCTGGCTTTCAGTTCATCTATGAACTCGTCTCCTGCTGCAGTTGAATTATGCGCAACCAGCCCGTCATCGACATATAATCCAATCAAGACTTTGGACCGTCCTTTAATTCTAACGTATAGGCAGGGATCTGCTTCACTTTGTTGAAAGCCAACCTCTTGTAAAAACTCGGCTATGCACGAATTCCAGCAGCGCGGCGCCTGTTTCAGTCCGTATAAGCTGGGTTTGAGTTTACAGACTCGTTTGGTTCCGTCGTGAAACCCTTCAGGCTGTTTCACATAGATTTCTTCTTTGACTGATCCATTAAGGAAGGCAGTTGCTACGTCAAATTGTCGCAACTTTAAATTTTCTTTAACCGCAATTGCTATTATTGCTCGAATTGTGCTAAGGCGGGCTACAGGACTAAATGTCTTGTCATAGTCCACGCCTTGTTGTTGGGAGTAGCCTTTAACAACTACCCTTGCTTTAAATTTATCTATTGAACCGTCTGGATTCGTTTTCAATTTATAAGTCCATTTGCAAGGTAAAGCTTTTCTTCCTTTAGGCAAATTCACTAAATCCCATGTCTGATATTCGTGTAGTGAATTTATCTCACGTAACATAGCTTTGAGCCATTTATCTTTATAAGGAGATTCCATAGCTTGTTTATAAGTTTCTGGATCCTTCGGTAGGTTTTCGACTTCAGCGACAGCTTCCAGTACAAAGTCATCATACCGTTGTGGTCGCTGTATTGCTGATCTGTTTCTCAGATTATATTGCCCCAGTTCATGTGGTGGAATTTCATGTTCAGATTCATGTTCGTTCGATTCGGGTTCAGAATCGTGATCAGGAACTTCGTAGAATTCTTGCTGTTCATCTTCCGTGTCATATTCTTGATCAATGACACCTATTTCTTGAGTGGAATCTGGATCAATTCGAATTGAATTTGTATTTTGTCGTTGATCTTGAGTATCTTCAATGTTCAATTCAATTATTGGAGTGGTCGAAACAGAGTGAGTAAGATTGTCAAAATTGTTGGTAGTATTTGAGTAAAAATTTGTCTGGACAATTCTTACATCTTTGGAAATAAATATCTTGCGTTTGGTAGGAACATATACCCTGTATGCTTTGCTTGTGTCAGAGTACCCAACAAATACTCCTGGAATCGCTTTAGGTGCAAATTTAGGACCTTTAGCACGACCTTTTATAAGCACAAATGCTTTAGTTCCAAAAGTCTGGAGATGATTGACGCACGGTTTTCTTAGTACCCATTTTTCAAATGGCGTTCTGTTTTCTATAGCACTGTTTATGCTTCTATTGGATAAATAGTTCGCCGTATTTATGGCTTCCGCCCATAGAAGCATAGGTGATTTGGCGTCTATTAGCATTGCTCTAGCTTTCTCCAGCAGTCGATTTTTGCGTTCAGCAATTCCGTTCTGGTGTGGGGTATAAGGTGCGGATAAGCGTCTTACTATTCCATTTTCCTGAAGATAGGCTTGAAATTTGCCGTTGACATATTCTGTGCCGTTATCTGTTTGCAGGTGCTTGACTTTATTTCCAGTAAATGTTTCCATTTCTCGTTTGTATGTTTTGAAGTGATTTAGTACTTCAGATTTGTTTTTCATAAAGTAGACACGTCCATATCTACTGTAATCGTCTATAAAGGTGACGAAGTAGCGGTTCTTTCCATTAGAAGGTGTGATAGGGCCACACACGTCACTGTGGACAATCTCCAAACGTTCAGTTGTTCTAGGAGTTGTTCTTTGTGGAGGGCTTGGTACGCGAGTCATTTTAGCTTGAATGCATGCGTCACAGTCGGACAGAGACTCTTTTTTGTCAAAGTATAATCCAATCAAAGTATCCTTGTTGAGAGCTAGACGCAGATCTTTGTCGTTCATATGTCCAAGCTTCCTGTGCTATTCCAGTAAGGAGTTTTTCTTCGCACTGTTTGAAATTGTTTCAAATGTAGCTGCGTAATTTTGTTCGATGGTTTGCGACTTGACATAGTAGAGACCACTGTTTTGACATTTTTCCGCAGTCATAACCAAATCTCCTGTCTTGTTGCGTACGAACGCTTTATCTTTTTTAAAAGTTACAGAAGCTCCATGTTCTGTCATTTTTGGCACTGAGAGTAAATTTTTACTAAGTGAGGATACGTACAGAGTGTTTTCGAGATTAATTACTCGATAATTGGTTTTCAGTGTTACTCTGCCTTCACCTTTAATTTCAGTAGAGTGCTGTTCTGAAGCAAAATTAAGTTTTCTTGAAACTGTACTAAAGTTTTTGAAGTACTCATGTTGAAACGTCACATGAGAGGTACAGCCGCTGTCAAGTATCCAGTCGTTCTGGTTGTTTTTGTTTGAAGTGAGGTAGCAATCTTCGGCATAGTAGGAACTTTTATTTTCTGAGCCTTTAGCCGCTTTATTTTTCTTCCAGCAGTTAGAGCAAATCTTGTGCGTCTTCTTCTGAAAGATTTTTCGTCCCGATTTCTTACAGATTTTGCAAGATACGTAGAGTGCGTTTTCTTCTTCATGTGGTGGCGGGCTGACTTCGACGTCACGGTGTCGAGCGTCACTCTCTTCAATAATTTTTATTTTAAGTTCCTCAGGTTTCGGTAGAACGTCGCGTGACTCCATGGCTACACGAAAGTTTTCGTATTCAGAGGAAAGACTGTAGAGCATCAGGATAGTGAGTAGTTCCTCGTTAATATCTACATCCATTTCTGCTAACTTGTCTACTGTGTCCATAAACTTGTTCAGGTGCTCATGAACATTGCTGTCTTCAAGTTTAGTTAGTATTAACCGTTTTAGAAGAGTAGCTTTTCTCGCAGGGCCTTTACTTGCATGTATTTCCTTTAATTTGTCCCATAGGGCTTTCGCAGAAGTGCATTTCTTGATGTCCTTTAGCTGTGAAGGTGCAATCAGTAAAATAAGTTCTGACTTAGCCTCTCTGTCGCTGTCAAGTTCATCGTTGCTTGGAGTTGGAGGTAGTGTGTTAGTAACATACTTCCAAAGTTTGTTTTTTATTAGCACGGCTTCAGCTTGTATCGCCCAGGTATCATAGTTATCCTTATCCAAAAGTTCGATGTGATATGTCGTTTTCGGCATCGTCTTATATTGCGCGAGTTTTACACTTCACTTCAAAAATATCGGATCCTTTTACGCTCTGCTACCATTTTAAGTTTTTGTTATGTAAATAATAAAGGATATGCAAGTATAAATGAATATTATTATATATTTAATAAGTAGAGCAAGTTTAAATGTAACAGTATATACATGAGTGTGACAAGAGTGAAAAATAACAAGTCAGACTGTAGCCATAGCATTAACCTACAGCATAGACAATGAAGAGTGATAGAATATGCATTCTTTTCACAATATATTACCTTTATTTTTTTCCATCCATTACCATTTTTAAGTTTCTGGCTTCTCTTGTAGAATTTTGCCAATGTCATGTCAGTTATTATATATTAGTTATATATTAGCTTAGAGGATGGAAAAAAATAAAAGAAATGGGAGTAAGATGGGAGTTAGACATCATTTTTCTAGAGGAGACATTTTTACTGATTTTTACAGCGACAGGCACATGACAGGTGACATAGACAAGGTTGTGACAGTGACACCTAGTTTGTGGTGATCAACATTAGATAAGTAGTCTGTGCTTAGAGGATGGAAAAAAATAGTCTGTGTGATCAACCAACAAGATTCGCTCTGGACCTTTTGGAGGGAAAAGTGTCGTTTTTATTTTGACTTTCAATTATTTTGTGAAATCTAGTTTAAAGTGGAATAGGATAGTGCTATTGTGCCTTAATCAGAGATTCAAACATGAAATTATGCGAATCTCGAACTAAAATACCCGTATCGGTCCGTTCTAAGGAATCCCGAGTCAATCCAAGCACGCCCCGCCTCAAATTGCCTATCCTCTTTGTGGCGGCCATATTTACAGAAAAACTTATTTTTATGTTTTCGGCTGAAGGACTTTGTTTCCATGGCCAGAAATAAATTAAAAAAAAAAAAAAAAAATTCAACCAACAACAAAAGCTGTGCAGCCAACAAATTAATTTGAAAAGTGAAGTGTACGCCGAGTATATTTGGAAAATATTTGTTATGTTCTTAGCAATTTTTCCGTGCATAAGTCATGGCTTGCACGAAGGAAGAAATTGAAAAAAAGCGTCTCGCGGCACTGCAAATACGACAAAGCAAGCTAACGATTCAAAATAATGCAACAAGTTCGCCTGTTAAGTTAAATTCTGAAACAAGCAGTGGACCTTTAGTAATGTATTATCCGCCGTCTACGCCTGGTCGAGTGAAAAATTACAATCACAATGCTAGTAAAACATTTCATCCTTATGCCAAACCCGAATGCAGTACATCAATGCATAGCAAAATGCCATTATCTAAAGTTGTAAGTGGCACTATCTACTTGATATCAGATAACCGTTTTGAAGTAAATCCCTCGGAATTCTGCACTCCACTTATCAATATATTCAAATCTATACCTTCTAGAAATTATGGTAAGTGATGGTGTTTTAATACAGGCTATTGTGACGAATTTTTTTTTATAATAAAACTGGCTTTAAATCATTACTTGTAATTTTCAGATGCAAAATCAAAGTTGTGGAACTTCTCAATAGATGATTATGAAGAGTTTATGTCTAAAGTGAGTTCTTTGGCACCACATGTGGTACTAGGACCTATCCCTTCATATGTTTTAAAGGTGCGTTAATGTATGAAGTACCCACAAGTGCAGGTTTTTGAAGTATTTGTAATAAATATTTATTTCAAATACTAAGCTATTCACTAATAATAAATATACATATTATTTATTACAAAAAATGTGTTCTTGTATAGTCCGTTTTTAGTGAAGATGGAAAAATTTGACAATTCGTTGCGCAAAAGTGTTGCCCGTTCTCAAGTAGCTAGTGATTGCAGTCGATAAATATGAATGAATGAATGAATGAATTATCGACTGAATATTGGTTACGCTTACGCAATGATTGTCCGAACTTGTTAAATTTGAATCATCATCGGCCCATTATTCGTGCCACTGCTGGGCTACTATTGCTTTTATTTTTTTTATTATAAATTAACATTGAAAAACGTAAAAAAGGTATAATAAAAATATACGTCATCTTTACTTATGCTGGTAATTGGTATATGCGAGTCGTTATTATATTACTTATTATAGACAAAAGTAGCTACTAAAATTTAAACAAATAAATAAAATGCCGCACGGGCACAGCGGGCCGGCTGAATTTGCCGCATTCGGCTACCACTCTTTGGCTTGTTCGGATGTGCTAACTTGCGCTCGCGCTTATTACGTTTCTTTTGTTAGTTCACGTTATTGTTACGTACGTTGTTAAGTACATTTGAATTGTCAACTTTTGTAAGTTCATCACATCTATTAATAATCAAAAAGGGAAATTTTGTGGTTTTTCATTTTAATTCAGTATAGATAATCAAATCCAACTATCATTATTAAAAATGTATATGAATAAAAACGAGTTCAGGTGGTATTCTACATAGTCTACAATAGGGCAATAATTTGAACGTGCGTCTGTAGATACTTTACGAATTGATTTTGATACTCGCGGGCCAAACGTCAAAATAAGAGTAAAGACGGCGATAACGCAATTACTAATCATTAGAATGTTATAAGTCTCACAATTCATACATTTTTTGGAAACTATTATCATCTTTCCAGCCTATCGATAAATCTATCGACAATAGCTACATGACTATTTAAAATTTTACGAAAACTGGCAACCCTGCAAATGTCAAATTTTTCCATCTTCAATAAAAACGGACTATAGGCTGTTTGATTAAATATTGATATAAATTACTGTAGCATATTAAACATTAATTATAGAAATTATAAAATAATTTCAGGTGCTATGTGAACATACTATGGATCCTAACAGTATAGACCTGTCCCCTATTGAGTCTACACTTAGAAATAAGCTAATGCCTTTCCAAGAAGATGGTGTCAGGTAAATAACACTGACATTTATTGCACCCGTGACATGTTATAGAGACACAAGGTGATCTTAACCAGTGTTGGGCATTAATCAATTAAATTTTAATGAGATATTTAATAGGCTTAAATATTAAGTGCAATTAACATGAATTGCACTTTGCAATTAATTTTAATCAAATTGATCTGCAACTTGATGACAAGGCGCCTATTTTGATCTATGTTAATTGTGACTTGCAATTCAATCAATAGTAACACATGTTTTAAATTGTCCTAAGAAACAATTAAAACTGAAACTAAAACTATATTCTAAACTAAACTTATATTCCGAGATGAAACGGAAGTCTGAGGATGTAAACAAAGGTGATGACGCTGGTGATACTTAAGATGCTGATAATGCTGCTGGTCCTAATGATTCTGATGGTGATGATGATGCTGATGGTGCTTATGATGCTGATGTTGCTGATGATGTTTATGCTAAAAGTGCAAATGATGGTGGTGGTGCCGATATCGATGGCATGCCTGACCACCAGTCATCATCAGCACTATCAGAATTATCAGCATCGCGTTCGCATCATCAGCATCACCTGCACCATTACTATTTTTGGAGAGCCACCAAACTACCTCAGGCTCTACGTCGTAAATCATAAGATTGTCATAAGATTGTGAAGGACAGATTGAAATCTCTGGGCCTCACTACACTTGAAGAAAGAAGGGTATGGGGTGATCTAATTGAAACTTTTAAAATTCCTCATGGGTTCTACAATCTTCCAGACTTTCACAACTTCTTCGAAAGAACAGTACACTCCAAAAACATGAGGTGTCACTACATGAAAATAGTCCGAAGGCCATCACTCACCAATACTGCCTACCACATCCTCGGCAACAGAGTGGTTTCAAAGTGGAACAGGTTGCCTGAGAACGTGGTCAATGCTAGCTCAGTGAACGCTTTCAAAAACCGGCTGGACAGCTGGTTAAAAAAGAAGAGTTTGTGTCTTCTAGGTCTTTAAGTTCTAGTGTTTTGTGGACTTTAACAAAAAGATTCAGAACTATTTGTCAATTTGTGGACTTTATAAAAATTCAACACAGCTTTGATATAGGCATAACAGTTTCAAGCTGCTCGCCTATTAATAATAAATGAAGAAATAAATATTTAGAATAACCATCATCAGCGTCCTAAGCATCATCGGCATCATCAGCGCCATCAGAATCATCAGCACCATTACCTTCAAGACATCATCAGCAGCATCTGCAGCATCAGCATCATCTGCAACATCAGCACCATATATAAGCATCATCATAAATATTCCACAATTAACAATTGGTTAATCGTTAATTGCGAGAACAACAATTAACAAATAATTAATTGGTAATCGTGTTTCTCTAATTGCAATTAATTAATTGTTAATTGCTGTTGTCGCGATTGACAATTAATTAATTGACAATCTTTAATTCCCTGAACAATTAAATTTTGCCCAACACTGATCTTAACAATTTTTTTTTTATAAATTACTTTGAAATGTTAAAACTATAGACCTAGCTTCGTTGCGATTTTGTTATACAATTGTATTGTATACTAATGCTCTGAAGTATATTATAATTAATGCCTGATTAGGAGCATTAACCTTAACAAAAATGTAACAGCTGCCATCTGTTGGTTTTTTCGAATATAAATACAATAGCATCGCGGGTTTACTTGCATCATTATTTACATCTATTGAACAGCAGCGGTAAGAATTAAAATAAGTGTCCGAATATGCAGAGTTACGAGTGCGACATTTCTTTGTATGAGATTGGGTATCTGTACTATGCTCCATTTCTTTAGGTAGTAGTAGTAGTAGTAGTCTTAACTAAATGTAAACAATCTTGATCCATCTTTTTCTTGAACATATACTTTATAAATCAATAGGTACAAAATAGGCATGAAATTTCATAATGAAGCTAAGTATTTGTATTTTGTATTTGAAGTTAAGTAAAAATCATTTTGTAAATGTATATTTCGTTAAATAGACATCTCAAGTTTGTTGACATTTAGTTAAGTACCTAAACAAATGGACCGTAATATATTGTTATATTATCTATGCTTATACATACACTAATAATGTCTACACTCTATAGGAGTTTCTCATCAGTTCACTGGAACATCAATGAACTATTCCATTGATGTTCCAATGGTACGTTACTTGAGCAGTTTTTTTTTTTACTCAATTGTAGAATCTTTGTGTGTCACTACTCTTACCAGAAATCTCCAGATGTTTTAAAACTTCAGGGAGGGATCCCGGATTGTTATTTTCCTTATTCACACATGTTTCAGATTCGGTATCGCACGACGCGGACGCTGCATGATCGCGGATGACATGGGGCTAGGCAAGACTTTTCAAGCTCTCGCGATCGCAAGCTACTACAAACACAATTGGCCTTTGCTCATTGGTACAACGTCATCTATGAGGTTTGTGGGTGAGCGTATTGATGTGCGCTTCTCGGAATTTTGATGTTACGTAAACTTTTTAAAATTGTTTTTCATTTATTTTTGTTAAGGGTAGTACTCAATACTTTATTCCATACTATAATGTTATATGCAAGGTGGTAGGTAACTTAAATTAAGTTACATGAATTAGTTAGTATTTAACCGCTCACCAAAAAAATAATTTTTTTTACAACCAAATGTACCACTTCCCCAACAAAAGTACTGATTGCACATCAAAATATGTATATTAAAAGAAAATTAATTTAGCATTATGAACTAAAGTTAATGCATAAATTTCATCGCAATGCATGCAAGGTGATAAAACTTTCATAGATTTCTCATAGATGGCGCTACGACTAAAAAGTCGTTGAAAAACCAAATACAAAGACACGACAACTAGCACGTAGAAAAATTCGTGAGGTCCACTGGTTCGTCCCGTTGCTTAGTTGGTATAGCGTCTAGCACGGTATGCTAGAAGACGTCGGTTCGAATCCGGCCGGATCGAAGGAATTTTTCTGAGTGTTCGATCTTTGTATTAATAATTAAAAACATACCTATTTGTCTAAAAGGTACAGCGGTCTATCGGAATGCAACAACATTTTATTTGATATAATGGTCTAATTATACAATTTTTCCAAAACAATATATCTAACAAAAAAAATATTAAAATTGCACACAAACATTGCAACCAAACCAAACAATCGTTTGAAAATTGCAGTATTTTTTTTTAAATTTACAAGTAAAGCATTGACCTACAAGTAAAGGTTAAATTTTGTTTCAATTATTATGAATTGTTTACAATAAAATCAGCTCCAAAGCTTAAAATGAAGAAAGCAGAAAATTATTTAAATTTTTTTTATTGAATTATTAATTGTCTTGCCTTGGTAGGACGTCCACACTTCTTCTGTCCGATATTCGAGATTTTTGGACTCTGCTGCTGGTACCACATCCTTGAGCCGGATCGCGAGCCGTACAACGTGTTTGCATTTATAGTTTTGAAAAAAAAATGAGGGCAGTTACATTTGCGCAGCGTTCTCACTTGTTCTTTGTTTGGGCATTTTGCACCGGACTCAAGGTTTTTTGCGAAAGAGATAAAAAGTCCCGATTATTTTCAGTAAATCAGATGAGATTTTAGAAATAAATGCAATACGTGTTATTTGTTAGATCTTATATAACATTTTGATGTAAGTGACTCATTGTATATACGAAGATAATTTGTGGAATCACTTTAGAGAAAAATTACGGTAAGTTTGTTATAAGAATTGTTATTTCGTTTGAGTTCCTTTAAATTGATGTGCAATCAGTATTTCTGTTACATAAACCATATTTTTGTTAATAATTGAACACGCGTTGTACACTGGGAAAATAGCAGTGGTCTAGTTTTGGTGTTTTTAAATTATTTTTGACCCTACTTTTGTTAGACAGTTGTTTTATTTGTAGTGACATAATTTTTTAGATGTAAAAGTTATTTGTGTAGTGGACATAATTTTATATGTATTAAGTTTTCGCTTTTTGCAATATTTCCCTTTTATGAATACGCGAGTAAATACGTAACAGATAGATTGTAATATAATAGGTCGGTTGTGAGTCATCTACTTGGGATCACTGAAATCCCCCCTGAACATTTTCGGCAGCATCCCAAGACTCCTGGAACAGCTGGGGTTACAGTAGTCCTACACCCACTCAAAAGCAAAATTGGCTTAAGTAGACGTGGCACTGCGAAATTAAGTGTGTATTACACAATATTTATGATACTTAATACAGACTTAAATAACGTCCGTGAGTATTACGAATATGTAGGAGTCGATTTACGTTTGCACGATTGCTATTGTACATTGAAAATTAATCTTTTTTTCAAACAAACCAACGTTTCGAGCTCTTTACAGGGCCCTACTCTCGAGGCACGAAATCCGTAGTTACGACCGTTTTCCTATTTTGGATAACCTACGGAACTACTTTCCAATTCCGTCAACGAAAAGGCTGTCAAATCGCGTTGTCATGTCAATCACAGTCTTAGTTCCAGCCCCGATAGAAACTCAAGTCATGATCACTCAGGTCATCCATAGAGGGAAAACGGCCGTAAGTATGGATTTTGTGCTTTGAGATAAGGGCCCCACGTCCCATGGTCAAGTCAGCCGCCTGTAATATCGATCTGGAAAAAAGAGTTGGATTTCTATAATGGGTTATTGTTCATACAAAGTTAGACATACTTAAAATGTGTTTCTCGTCATTTAACCTCATTTCTTAACTAACAGAGAGACATGGCAGAGCAAAATCCATGAGCTGTTACCGTCTGTTCCTATGATGAATATAGCGACGCTAACTAGCGGGCGAGATACGCAACTGGTTGCCGATAAACAGGTGAAAAGTATATGTTTAATATTTTATTATGTTCTATATAGTGTTGAAAGGCTACAATACAAGGATTACAATGAGAAATTATTAATTACTATTTGTCATACATATTTGTGAAATGAATCTGTCATACATAATATGTGTAAAATCGTATCAATGCTTCTCCTTCTTGGCCTGTCGTTCGCATAGTTCTTCTGGGGGACAGAACCTCTCTAAACTAAATTTTAACAATTTTTTTTTAAATTTAAAAAATTAAAGTAAGGTCATGTAATACTAAAACATCATAATAAAAATTCTTTGTTACTTTCCAGACTGAAATTGTAATAGTTAGCTACAAAATCACCAGTATGCATACAGATTTGCTGAAGAGCAAGAACTTTGGCGTTGTTATTATTGTAAGTATCACTATGTACATATGTACATACTGTATAGTATACGTCGAGAATATTTACCATTTTTGTAAAATGTAATAGTTCTATATACAATTGGCTTTTGTGCGTAAAGGAGTGCCCCAAAATTATTTAATTTAAATTGTCATATTGTTAAATAAATGTTCGTTTTTCTTTGAATTTATTTATTATATAATATTGCATTCGTATATTTGTAATATTTATTATTATAAGTATTATAACATTGAGTTTTATTGAATATTATGATGTTTTACTACTATGATACATGATGATACTCATTTATTTTTCGTGAAATTACTCCACTAGTTTGTTATAATTATTAATACTAAAGTCATGTATATTATGTACTATTATTTATTTATTAAGGATAGCCAAGAAAGTTTACAACTTAACGTACACAATACAATAAATACTTCGCCCTTTCGCCAGAACAACGTGTTAACTCTAATATATCGACATATATAAATAACACGTTGTTCTGGCAAACGGGCGACTTATAAATTAACGGATAGTTGCAACTTCACTGCATATATGTGCATGCACTTATATATATATATATATATATATATAATTATAAAAGTTAATTAAATAATAAAAAAAATTATATTAATAATTTCAATCCAATTAATTAATTAAACTTAAACTAAAACTACAACAATATGCTTTCTTTAAATTTATATAATGTGTCACCATATATAGCAACATATCTGGACGTGGGGTACTCGCAAACTTTTATTATCATCCCGTTCATAATTATGTGTAAGAAACATAATCCCAAACTATTTCTCCTACCATTCAAGTTTGCATGCCAAAGTGCTCAAGCCAGGCATTGTATTACTGTATGTTGCAATTATAGCAGTTCATATGGTCAACAGGATGAATCGCATTACCTGAAATCGCACAAAGCGCAATGCACAGTAGCTCTAAACAGCATCACACGAAACGCATCCCGCGTGCTGCTGCTTTCCGGCACGCCGGCGCTTAGCCGCCCCGCAGAGTTGTACACGCAGTTGACCCTTATTGAACCACGGCTCTTCCCCGGATACACTGAATATGGTCAGTATTATCCAACAATGAAAAAGCCACTTAACATACATTATCAACCCTGTTGAAATAAATATGAAACACTAGGTTTAAACTTTTATTACTATTTAATTAGCATTAATTGTACAGAGATAATGACGGCAAAGCAAGTTGATGTAACAGAGAGAGTCCTAGGAACAATAGCACAGCAGTACCGTAGTGATGCAGCATTGCTCTTAACTAATTATCAGGATGCAAACTGTTCATACTAAATTAACTCATTTTAACAAACCCGAATATGACACACTGCTGGATAAGGGAACTGAAAGAGGTTCGGAAAGGGTTTTAGGTGATACTAAAATCAACTTTTATAATAAACAACCACGAGTACAACATTTGAATTGAATATCCGACCCAACTCTATAGACAACTGTATAGAAATTAAATTCAGTGTGTGGAGCTCGTCAGATATAATAACGAATGCATTGTCGATTCATGACAAGCACAGGGACACAACACAACTTAGAGCGGTTCCACACAGTGACTTTTAGCAGCGCGTATATACCAATTCAGTCGCGATGCAGTCGCTAATCGACTACCTTTACACATGGCCCCACTTAGGGTCGAAACAAAACTGCGAATCGGCGCCATGCGAATTCACAGCGGAGACAACTGACGCGAATTGCTGCGATGCGATTTCGTGCGGCAAGGCCTGTCACTGCCACGGTTCGGGTGACGATTCTTTTGACGATCGTAAAAAGAGTGTTGCACTGCTGTTATTGATAACAAAAATAGGAAAAAAGACAAAGAATATTAACATCGCAGGAATGCGCGATACGTTCGCAGTTTTATGTTTCGACCCTTAAGCAGCGAACAATCGCGATGCACGTTTTTAATGATTCGACACAAGCGACTGCATCGATACAGTCGCGCGTTTGCATCGATGCAACCGCCTATAAATAGCAAGTCTCGCGATCCAATCGCGCGTTTGTATCGCTGCTAAAAGTCGTCGTGTGTAACCGCTCTTAGAATTTCGTTCAAAATCGCACACGCCAAGTTACTCTCATTAATTTTAATTTGAAGCTTTTTATTTTTGTAGAACAAAATTTAACATGATTTAATTATATTCCAACAAGGTAAAAGATACTGCGCGGGAAAGCAAACCAACTTCGGTTGGGATATGACGGGACAGTCGAACTTGGCTGAGTTACAAGTCCTGCTTCAAAAGAAGTTTCTCATCAGACGCACAAAGGAACAGGTGCTTACCAAGCTGGAAGGAAAGATCAGGTAGATATTTGCACATTCGTGTTACTTCTTTGAGTTGCTTAAGAAAAATAGGTGAATGCTTAGCTCCACAGTTAAAGGCGACTTATGGCGGAATATAAATGAAATTCTATATAAAAATAGTGTTTTTTTATCACCAAGTAGTTTAAGATGCTTTTATACTACATTATTTATTTATTACTATGTATTAATATTATATGTATGTATATATTTATTAGTACTCATTATGCAGTGCATTCATGAATATATTTTTTGGTGGTGGTTTTAGATACGCAAAATGGGTGCACCATTTTGCGTATCTAAAATTTCTAACCTAAGTTGCGTGGAAGAAATTGCTACATAGCAAATAACTTACTATTATTATACTTAAGTTACTGTTTTATGTTGCCATTGTAATTTTAAGTGCAACAAAGAATTTATCATTCAGTTACTCATAACATACATAGAACTGTTTATTGACAATCTAAGACAGACTCTTTAAACATTGTTTCAGAGAAGCGGTAATCCTAGATCAGAGCCTCCTAGATTTGACAAAGGAAGACCAACAAGGACTATTAGAAATGGCGCAGAACTACAAAACAACTAAAGCCAATGAGAAACACGCCGCTTTAATCACTTTTTTTAGCGAGTCGGCGAAGATGAAAATCCCTGCTATATGGTAGGTAACCGATTAGCACTGCTTATTTCGATGGAGCCATAACATTTAAAAGAAGAAGAAGATTAGCACTGCCATGCGTTATGGTTACTTTCGCGAGAGGGTCGATCGTGATTTAATTATTCATCTGATACCTTGATAAAACACAAAATATAGACAAAAAACACACAAAATAAAAAATACATTAGCGGTATCAATATCAAGACCATCTGAAACTAGAATACTAATGGAATTTTCTATTAATGAATGAGTGACCTCATTCGTTAATAGAAACAGAAAAAAATATCTTTAACAGTACTTGTCATATGGTAATAGTTCAGTGAATTTTAGGTATCGTCACCCTACAGTTGAGATAACTTTAGGGTGACGAAACTTAATGAGTTCTCAATGCGTACAATATAAAACTATCCTATATATCCGCGGACAAAAGACTTTGTCCCTCCTTTCTCTTATGCGTGCATCGTATTTTCCATTTGATTTAACGGCAATTTTTCTTTATGTTCCACTACACCCGTATCTCAATAATAATTTTATTACTTTCGGATTCGCATTTCGCAAGGGTATAGTTTCAGTATAGCCCCAATTGTAAAACGGTTTCGTATGACATATCGTCCCCCAGAGCTTGATTCATATCATAATATGAGTCAGGTCCTGCGGTCTCGTTCTTCGTCCAACATCCGCCCGAAACAATTAACAATTAAGTAAGTTATCAAAACGGCTCGGCTCTGCAGTGTACGTGATTAAAAAAATAAGGAAACTTTCAGACGTCGAAACCGCTAGATTGGTTTACTTCAGCTACTTTCACAGTCTAATGACATACGGCATTTTGCTTTGGGGTAATGCCGCCGATATCAATAGAATCTTTGTCCTGCAGAAACGTGCAGTTAGGGCAATTTACAACCTGGGCCCCAAAGTATCTTTGAGAGATAAGTTTAAGGAAATCAACATTCTTACACTAGCCTCACAGTACATTTATGAAAATGTAATTTATGTTAAAAGGAATAGTAATTTCTTTATGAAAAATAGTGACAGACATAACATTAATACGAGGAATAGAAATAAACTAGCTTTTCTTAATAGTCGTCTTCACAAAGTCAAAACATCATTTAAGTGGCAATGTATACGCTTCTATAACAAGATTCCAGTTGATATACAAAATTTGCCTTTCACGAGGTTTAAAACTATAGTGAAACAAAAACTTTATACTAAAGGTTATTATACAACTTCTGCGTACTTGGATGACAAAATTCCGTGGTAGTAACCCGTTTAGCTCATGGAGGTAGTCTCGATCTCTGATGTTTCAAATAAAAAAAAAATATTGTAAATGTTATTTACAAAGAGCAACCCCTAGAGTTTCTTGCTCATTCTTCTCAGGGGAATCTGCCTTACGAATGAGCGGTAGAGTTTAACTATTGTGACGATTTCAAGTGTAATAATGCTTACCTATGAAATAAAGATTATTTTGAATTTTGAATTTTGAACTGTCAAATAAGTAATACTCTACCAAATTAAAAGATGCATGATACGAATGAAGCTTCATACTTGACATTGTTTTTTGATTTGGGCGAGTATTATTAGTTGACAGTAATTGTTTCGGACCATCGAGTATATAATTAGAAATAAAGGCCACCCATCCCTGACAATTCATCAGGCAAATGGGCCTTATATCACTTTTAAATATCAACTCTCGTTTACTGAAATAGTACAGCGCCAGCAACTGAACTGTGTGTACGTCTACGTATATTCCAAAAATATTCTGTATTTATTCTAATAAAGATAATATCTCTAACTATGAGGGGCTGTTCCATTCGGTGATGTGGGAAAAACAGCAAAACATCTACTTACAAAACAACCAGAATCACATTTCATTGGTAATTAAATATTAAATATCGTCTGCTTAAAGGTAAAACCACATAATTGACAACAAATCCACAAAAATCTCCAAATTATGTAGCAGTTCTAAGAAAAATCACCATCTTTCTTCAGAGCTTTTTTGTTATTGAGTTTCACTTGCAGAAAGATGGTGATTTTCTTACCATAGCTATATAAAGACTTTTTGTAGAAGTGTCACTTATGTGGTTTTACCTTTAAACAGACGACATGTAATTTTGCAATTTTCGTCCATTATAGCAAAGCTCAAGTTAAACTGGTCGCTTTGAAGTGAAACAATTGACGACCCCGTCAATTGTTTCAAATTCGGGCTGTAATGCCAAATGGCAGAATAGTTTTCAGACAAATTAAATGACATTTCGTCTCTATTTCTTGTTATAAAATATACTTGATGTTTCGGACGGATGTGGGTACGGAGAACGAGAGTAGACTCCCTAATATGAATGATATTAACTAAGTGCACGTTATTAATATATGGTAAGACAGTATATTAAGATTCTTTTTAAACTTTACGTTTTAATGCTTTTTTCCTAGCAAATACATCAAACAGCAGTTGAAGGAAGAACCTGGCAAGTTTCTAATATTCGCACATCATAAGAACATGGTAGACGCGATATGCCTCACATTCGACGAAGAAGCGGTTCACTACATCTGTATCGTTGGTTCAACGCCTGCTAACGTTAGAGCTGTAAGTATACTTCCGTTACTTGAACTATGTAGAGATTCAACAATGCATAATGCCTTATGGGTCAACATGGGACAAATTATAACACACACATTAACGCACATAGATAAACCTGGGTACAGAGTTATATATTATTACTCGTGAGTTTGAGAGAAATAAATGCAGGCCACATAAACATTTCTCTCGGCCCGAGAATCGGAACCGGTACCTCGGCGTGGCAAATCAGTAAGCAATTGGTAACCGTTTTACCACAGAGGCAGTTCAATTATAAAAAAACTTTCTCCTATCCACAACACGAGTGTTGTTGTCTAAAGTATTGACTTTTGTATTGATTGTCTTTGGTATTGACTAGTGCCAGCAACACAGGGTTCAGATATAAATTGACTTGTACATAATGACGGATACGGACACATCTCTCTAGAAACTTAAGGTTTAATTTCATAGGCCACTTAAATATCACCGATGCGGTCCAATTAATTCGTTTTTAAAAACTAATATACAAACAACACACCAACTTCACATCAATTTAGAATAGCTATAAAAAAATCCATGATCGCCATTACGGGCAGCATTGACGATCACGATTGTGCATAATAAGGTCGTATGCTGCTGTATGTGAAGGTGAAATATCACGAATACGGAAATAACGTCTAGTAACACGGGCAGTTGTCACTTGACTAACTAAAAATGTGACGACTCCCTTAATACTCTCCCTACTCCTGGCTAAAGGAACGTCGTTTTAGCAATGTTCGCCATCCCCTATTCACCTGCCTGGAAAACCCCAATTTATTGCCGTCCTACTCGCACCGTGCGCATTGGCTGTTATTTGGCGATACCTTACGATTATTGTACACGTGCGCAATAAGTGTTAGAGTTGCTCTCAGTTATCATTTCCAACTAAAAAATAAGTTAAATGACTAAAAATTATGTTTTATTCGACTGGTTTGAAAAATAATTTTCTTTCTCAATTTGGTTTGTAGGTCCCAATTTCAATAATTTATTACGTATCTGCATAAATGATACCTTAAAAGAAACAGCAATAACTAAGCATGTTTTTAAAAGTGTTTGAACAAAAACACCACCTGCCATTTTTTTTTAAATGACGTCAAAAAACCGGTTTCGTTAATTATTCATCATTTTCGTAAACTTTAAAAGCCTGTAAAAAATATTTCCCACGATACAGATGCTTAGAACATGTTTTATTAGACTGTGTGCACATTACTTTATTGAAATAAAAAAAAAAATAATTGAGTTATTATTTGAGCTGGTCTTTATTAGCCCATACCTCTAAAATTATTGGCTTTTTCTCAAAAAATGTTAAAATTTAAATTAAAAAAAAATTTTTAGACTTCGTCTTAGACAACCCTACCTAAAATGCTTCTAAATAGTCTATGCTACCTTCACATTAAAGCTTTGCATCGACCTTCCAAACACCCTGTATATTACCTGAAAATACTGTTTTTTTTTATATCTATTTATTTATTTATTTATTTAGTTCACCAACACTACATTACAACATTCAAATATTTAACAATACAAAACAAAAGCTTAATGCTATAGCAATTATAGGTGAAGACAACATGCAAGATAATAAGAGTATTATTTTAACATTTACTACTGCAATTTTAATCAATCAAACAAATTAAATTGAAAAAATATAAATGTCGTTGATAAAGCTAATAAAAAAATAATCGAATCTATAATAAAGTAATAAAAATATAAATCATAAAAATAATCCAATACAATATAATAATATATATAAATAATATATTTTTTAAGATGTCAGGGACTTCACAGAACGTTTAAATTTAGGCAAACTTTCAGCAAAGATGTCAACTGTCTTGTCAAGATTATTGTTATGCTGGTGTGCCAGTCTGGCTAAAGGTGCAAACTGGCCCAAGTTTGAAAGGGAGCTGGGGGTCCAGAATAACTTGAAACACTGCGAGGACCTTGACAACCTACGCGGTATGTTAAAGCCGAGTTCGTTCAGTAAGTCAGGCGTGTCTAGAATTCCACGAGCTAGTTTAAACAAGAACAGACTGTCAAGTGTATTCCTACGAAGCGATAATGTTTCCATTTTGAAGTGCTCAAGCCTGGCGTCGTAATTCTTTAAGGACTTGGCAAGAAAGCAGGAATAGGTCAAGTGCCACACGAATCTTTTTTGTACTCTTTCAAGTTTCTTTTTGTACACGTCATAGAAAGGGTTCCATACAACACTACAGTACTCCAACCCGCTTCGCACCAAAGAACTGTACAACATAATTTTAATGCTGGGCGACTTAAAGTCCCTACGGTTTCGCAAGACGAAACCGAGGGTTTGAAAACCCTTAGATACGATGCTGTCGATGTGGACATGGAAGCGAAGTTTGCTATCGAACAGCACGCCCAGATTCTTAATTTGACTCACATTAGAAATTGGGTTACCTTTAATCGTGAATAGAGGGTTGACGACATGCTTAGTGTTTCTGGTGAAGTAGATTGCACAACACTTAGAGACATTTAAAATCATTTGGTTATTGTCGCACCAGGAGTCTAGGCGGTTAATGTCTTCTTGTAATTTTGCAATATCGCCAATGGTATTCACAACTCGGAAACATTTCAAATCGTCAGCAAACAGCAAGAACTGTGAGTGCCTAAAGCACTGATCTATGTCATTTGTAAAGACATTGAAAAGCAATGGACCCAAATGTGAACCCTGCTGCACTCCAGAAGAAACTCCAAAAGGCTCCGATGAATCCCGGTTTACAACGACCGTAGACGTTCTACCACACAGATACGACCCGCACCAACCCAGCAGAGGCTCTGCTATACCATATATGGAAAGTTTACGTACAAGAAGTTGATGGTTAACTTTATCAAAAGCCTTGCTGAAGTCAGTGTAAATGGCGCTCACAGAAGAACGCTGGTCAAGAGAGTGAGAAATATTATTGATGAATTGGACGAGGTTAGTAACTGTAGAGCGTGTCTTGGTAAAACCATGTTGCTCAGAGAGCATTATACCCTTGAAATGCCAAGAAAGTATGGGGGTCAGCAAGCACTCAAAGATCTTAGCAAAGATTGGCAAAATGGAAATAGGCCTGTAGTTATTCACAGCTTCCCTGTTTCCATTTTTATGCAAGGGTACTATAAGAACCTTATTCCATGCAGTCGGAAAGACACCAGTGCTCAGAGATGTATTAAAAATTAGTCGTAGAGGTCGAACTAATCCTGGGGCACACATGGTCACAAATTTAGAAGGAATTCCATCACTTCCAGCTCCCTTCGAAGGATCGAGTCTCTCCAAAACCTTGATTACCTGGTCGTCGTTAAATTGAATCATAGTTAAAAAGCTGCTAGTTAGAGATGGCGGGTCGTAGACCGCAGCAGAGGTGTCAGTAGGTTTGTTGTAAACTGAAGCAAAGTTATTAGCGAATAGATTGCAAATATCTTTACTACCAACTGCAGATTTTTCATGCAGGTACATTTGAAAAGGATAATGGCTACTGTTATTACGTTTACTTTTCACAAACGACCAGAATAATTTTGGATTCAAACGTAGATTACTCGCCAGGCAAGCTATGTACTGTTCATAACATAAATTTTTCATTTTATCGGAACGGGACCTTGCAAGTTCGAAAGCCAGTTTGTCGCGTGGGTTGTTGTTAAACTTTCGAAGCTTCTGGCGGTACTTATATTTTTCTCGTAATAGACTTATAAGATTACGTGAGAACCAAATCGGGTATTTTTTGGACCTGGGCTTGGATTTAGGAACATGTTTGTTTATTTCTTGTCGAATTATTGCATAGAAAGAAGATACCATATCGTCAACTGAATTACAGGAGGCAAATGCATTGTCCCAATCTACTTTGTTTAGATCGTGAAGAATATTCATATAATCGGCTTTATAAAAACAGAAGCGTAATTTATTATGCGCAGACATATTTTTATTAGCGGCAAAACAAAATGAAAACTCTATGGGTGGATGAAATTGGTCAACTTTGGATAAAGGAGTCATACACTCCTTTGCGCATATGACAGCGTGAGAACTCAGCACCAGGTCCAGAATGTTGCCCTGATAGTTGGAAGTACAATTGTACTACGTTAAGTTATTAAGTAAGGCAAATTCGATAAGCATACTAGACATGGCGCTCCCAGGCTCTGCACGAGGTGTAGAGAGATCATCAAGACAGCTCCATGGAATCTTACCCATGTTAAAGTCTCCCATGATAGCAATATTATCAACCCCATTCCCTTCAATTACTTTGTTAGAATTATTGATAAATTACGAATACAGCCATTAACGCACACACACACACTCAACATAGCCCCGCACTAGGGAAACCCTGTGTCGCAGGTGCCATGGACACACACATAGACAGCCACAAATTACACCCAAACTCACGAGAGAAATAAATGTACGCCATACAAACATTTCTCCCGGCCCGGGAATCGAACCTGGGACCTCTGCGTGGCAGTCCGGCATGGTAACCGTTCGGCCACGGAGGCAGTTATTAAATTAAATTCTAAGAGAACTTCCTTTTTCAAAGGGGACGGCAGATAGACAGCACAAAGATATAAGTTAGTTGGCTTACCGTCGGGATCTCCAACCTCCAGGCATATCCACAGGTCGTCACATCTAGATTCAAAGCTGAAAAGACGCCTAGAACACAAATCCCTAGAAACTGCTATAACAACACCACCGCCTATAGATTTGTGCGTGTGAAAACCATCCGCACTATCGCCACCAACCGCTCGGTCTCTCCTGTAGACCACATAACGATCATCAAAAAGTTCAGAATCATGAAAAGAGTCGTTCAACCACGTCTCCGTCAGCACAACAATGTCATAAGAACTGCAGATTACGTTGTTAAAAAGAGATACAGTTTTAAGTCTTAAGCCCCTGACATTCTGGTAATAAACATTTAATGGTCTAAATGCAAACAAACAACAAAAAGAAACAATATTTAAACTACTCATAAAATTGGAATTATAATTTAAAATTAAACGTAATTTATAATGGAAATAAATAACAGAATGAAAACAATTACAATATAAAAAAAAATAATAAAAATTTTGTTTGGATAAATTACAAATATGTCAATGCTTTTTGAAAAAAGTAACCAAGACAAAGATTTTAAGGTGTCTTCAGAGCGGACGTGAATAAAACCAGAACTGTCGCTTTTTCGGATATACACTTTTCCGTCGCGCACCCAAACAAATTTATAGTTTAGTTGACGCGCCACACGCCGAGCAGCAGCGTGGAGACATTTGAGTTCCGGTGTGAGATGTTCAGACACGTACACAGGGCTTTTTTCTGACCTCCTATACCTAGGTGGCTTGTATTCAACTTGTCTGTAGGATTATTCCGGTTGAATTTAACCACAGATGCTAGAAACTCGTCGTGAAGGCGTCTGCTATTAAACTTTACTAATACTGATCTTGGTCGAGGACTTTCGTTGTTTAATTTGGCAATTCGAGAACAATACTGAAAGTCTGACTCGGCAACGGGACATTTAATAATTTTTCCCAATTGTTGGACAATATTGAATATATTTTCGCTTTTATTTTCAGGTATGCACTGTTTTTCAATATTGTTGGATCGCGAGAGCTGTTCGAGTAATTGCAGACGGCGATTAAAGTCCTTATTCTCTGTTCGCAGCAGCTCGTTGTCCTTTTGTAGTTCAGTTATTGACGCTTTATGCGACTCATACCTGGACCTGTCATAGGTATTTCTTTACTAGGAGGTTTGAAGTTTGTACAGTCAAGCGCACACCAATCTTGCACTTATTTGCCTTGATGTGAGTTGTATGTAAGTCTAAAGTGCCTGACTTGACATACTATTGACCTTGTACTACTTTATTGCAATATATCGATGGAATTCATCAGGAAGAACTTAAAAACCATTGAAACATATCTAAAATGTAAAGCGTAAAAATGATTAAAAAAATAAGTAAAATGTAAACATGATTATTTGAATCAATAAAAAGCTCGGTGTTCATTTTGCGATAAAATTTAGCACAGTCTGATCACAGTATTGCGCAATAAGGCAAAAAATTAAATATTTTGGTTTGGGCCATTATTCTTGAACGGCCGCGATATGTATGTATAATCACGCTCTCAAATCTCAGACTGTAATTTAATGCAGTTAAATGTAAAATTTGGAGAAGCTACTGGCCATGTCTTGACCTACAAGTCAATATGTGAACGAATAGGGTGAACGTATTTGTAACACAAATGCGACTCAGATTTTTTATTTGAATACTTATAAAGTACTGGTAACGCTTGGAAATAGTCACATTGATGTTATATATGTATGCCTGTTTTTGTTATCTTTTGTTAACATTTATGTGTCAATGTTATATATTATATTGAAGGTCGTCATTGTGTAATGTTATTGAATACAGAGGTAATTATTGGAAAATATACAACGATAATTTCGAAAAAATTTCACAAGGTTCCGTACGGTAGTCGGCACGCACCTGCGCTTTTTGTTTATCTTTACGAGATCATAATTTATGTAGAGTAGGTACTTACAGAATCAATTGTCTATCCTTTGGGTTCAAGTGAAGAGCAATTGAGAAGATTAAGAAAACTAAAACTCCCGAAGTTTCCTACCCGGCTAGGCAGATTGTATCCTAATAGATTAGATAGAAGAGAGTTTTAATAATAGGAATGCAGTAAGAGGTTTCGGGGTCAATTTGAAATAACTGTTCGAGAATCAATATAAACATTTTATTTGTTGTGAGCACGTACAGACAATAAAACGCCTCTAAAGATTAGTGATAACCAACACTAGCATTGCCTAAGCGTCGGAAAGATCTATACTTAAATATCTAGGTGACAATGGAAGTATAGCTTCCATTGTGAATAGTTCGCTAGGTATTAGGTATATTCTATTTTACTATATTTTTATGACATACTGATGTTTATTTCTTAACCTTTATTGCACACAAAACAGTACAAATGGCGGTTTTAATGCCATAAGACATTTGGCAGATATTGTGTTAAGTTTGATAATAATGTTATACTTATTGTTGGGGTTTTGTTTCTATGCAATATGAAACTCATACTACATGTATCCCTTTGTTGCCCGTGGAATTACCAGCAGAACTACTAGTAGTCACACGGACAATAATAATCTCCCGTATAACTATCGACAGGCCTAGTTATCGTATTTTTCATTGGATCAAAGTTTCCATATCCTTTATTATAATAATATAATAAAGGATATGGAATTGATGTTTATATCAATCAGTAACATGCATTTCAAAAAGCATTCATGCTATCGCTTAACTTTTGTTCTAGGACTTAGTAGACAAGTTTCAACACTCCGAGTCGTGCCGTGTTGCCGTGTTGTCCATTACAGCGGCCAGTTCCGGTCTCACGCTCACCGCGGCCAATCTCGTGCTATTCGCCGAACTGCATTGGAACCCTGGGGTATGAATTGTAGCACAGATGTTGTTACTATAAGTTCGATAGTTACCAATACCCCGGTAGTACCAATTTTAGAAATAAATATTTCGAAATTTGTTTTAGTCTAGGAATTTCCTAGTTTGAGACCTGGTTTCTTTTTTTGTGATATCAAGTGACGGGAGGAACACGCCTGTCCATAACAGTTGCAGTGCCATTCAGAGCTTTAAATAGCAAAGATCTGAGGGGCGCTACCACTGCGCCTGTCACGCTAAGACATAAGTTGACAAAGCCCATGCACCCGTAATTTCACCAGTACCCTTACCCATCAAAACCGGAACACAGTAATGTTCACATTCCTGTTTGGTTGCAGAAATAGGTACGGTACTTCCCTGGACGAACTGTCTCATAATTAGCTTACTGCTATTGCATTATTCATGATAGGTGTGCTTGTTTGGAGCATTATTCTTATTATTGCTTGTATATGAGTATTCATGAAAGGGGAGCGTAGGGGAATGGGTAGCGTACTAAGGAAAATTGACAATAAAACTCATAATTTATGCAATTTCAATTTTTATCAGTTATGAACGTACGCTCCATATATCTGGGTACTAGATAATCACAGAAAAAATATGGAACTAAAATATAATATTTGGTTAAAAAGAAAAAACTAAAACATGTCATTCGCTCCCATTACCCCACAGCTCGGGAAATGGGAGCAGTAAGTATCCCGTATGTCATGTCAAATGGAGCCATTATATATAATCAGTCTGAAAATAATATGATAATAAAATATGTAAGTTATAAAGCAATGAAAATGAACAAGAAAGTGTTAAAGGAATGTCCAACGAATATTGCAATGGGATAAGGAGAGCCAAATAGCTCTCACTACCCGCGTAACATCGAATTGAAAAAGGAATAAAACAGTAAAAGCATTTCTATTTTTATTGTGATTTCAAGCATTCTAAAATTTGATAGATATGGTGACATAGCTACCTGGGATGATGAAATTTGCCAAATTTTACACAACCATCTCATACCACTAAACGCGGGGTTCTACGGGGGCGCCCACGGGGCTCGAACCTTATAGAACATTAACGAAGACATAGGAGTGCCGTTTGCACAAATACGAGCATTGGAAAAGTCCAGTTTAACACCGCTCTCATTATCCGCGGGCTCCCAAAACCCCACGTTCCCCTAACAAGCAAATAGATAATTTCAAATCTAAATTGAAATCAAGTCTAGCGACAATTTCGCCGGATAAAGTTCTGATATATAGGATGCACAGCCGAGTCTGGCGTTCTTTTTACATTTGAGTCCATGCAATAATTTATTAAATGACTTTTATTTATAAAGAATACTTGAAACAAGCTCAGTGATAGTCCTATAACGGGACTTATTGCCTGCTTATTGGCATTTGAGTGCGGGAAGGAAACTTCGTGAGGAAATGCGCTTCTACGAAGGTCCAGAATTCTTAGAAAACGTGAAATTTTAATTGGGATTTTGTCATTGTGGTCTTGGGCCTAAATCTTCCAAAACCAGTAGACTGATGTATATTCTTATTTAATATGTGATTCGAATAAAATTTGCGCGACTGCATCGACACAATCGCCTATAAATCCCAAGTGTAGCGATGCAATCGCGCGTTTGTATCGATGCAGTCGCGTGCTTGCATCGCTGCTTAAAGTCGCGCGCGTGTGTAAAAGTAGACGATTAGCGATTGCACTGTTACCGTGTCGTCGCCGTGTAAACGCTTTAAGATACGTAAGGTCTTTGCGATTTAAGACTCTGAGTGGCCTGTTATGGACAGGCGTCTCGCTTACCATCAGACGTACGATTTGTTTGTCCCGTCACTTGTGCACATGAGTAAAAAAAAATTGAGTAAATTCCTATTATTTGCAATTAGTACATTTTTCTCCTGTTTTTACTATGTTAAGTTTTTGCTAGACTTTTCCTTAGATTCTGTATGTTATATGATAGATCTTAACGCAAGCGGAGTCGCGCGCACATCGCATTGGGCAGACGGGTGGCGTGTGCGTGCGATACCTACTGGCCAACGGTACATCCGACGACTTCATGTGGCCTATGTTGCAGGATAAACTTAATGTAAGTGTAAACTTAATATACATGTATTAGTGGCAGTAATTGCATTTAGTTCTGAAAATGTTTGGTTTTATGCACATTCCCGGAAACATAATTCGAGCCGCTTTGCATTTTTATTTTTAAAGAGCAAGAATACTAAAATATTGTTGTCATCGAAGAAAAAGTTTTCCCCGATTTTACAAAACAAATTTTTCAACAAGGACATAATTATGGAATTTTTAAGATGTTAAATTTACCAGTTTCAAAATTGCACGCCTCGAGTTGTGCATTGGAAGTATCAAGATATAATAAATATATACTGTCAACATTCTACACAAACTTGTCGTTACTGCCTTCGTACCTTTTGTCTTTAGGTTTTGAACAACGTGGGTCTCAGCGAAGACAATTTTGAGGATACGAAAACTAAACATCAGGTATGCACAAAATTTTCACGTATCGTCGGCTAAATTTGTAAATCTCGTAACCTCCATTAATTTGCACTTTTGAGTAGGCAAAAAAAACAGAACTACTAGAATTAATTATAACGACAATCTATGATTAAACCTTTAACTAAATATAATAACTAAAAGAAGGTCTGCAAATTATATGTTAAATTTTAATTGCCCGATATTGTTCTTAAAGAGTAAAAAAGGCATTTCGTTTAAAAACGGAGTTCCGAGGTTTTGAAATTTAGCCGACGATATGTACCGTTGACGTTCGTCTTATAATACTTGATTTCCATTGTGAAGTATTGTAACTTTTAAAAGCATTTTCGTTACATTTTCCTTTGGCCCACAATGCCTTTATTCTACTATCGCTGGATTTGGTAGTCTTATTCGCAGATGGGATTGTATGATTAAAGTAAATTTATTTCACAAAAAATAAACTACATGGGGACATCCATTGTAGCATCGGAACACATTTCTAAAGTGAATTTGTATAATATAGGCACAATTTGACGTAGCTTCGATCACTATGTGTTCGTGGAATTATAAAGGAAAAAAAAGAAAGGAAATGGAATTATAAAGGCATAAGACATGTCTTTTACTTCTTTTTTATTTCTTTTTGCTTTACCCCAAAGCAAACCGCCGTATCTCATTAGACTGTGAAAGTAGCTGAAGTAAACCAATTTAGCGGTTTCGACAAGTCTCATGTGCCTGTAATTTCACTAGCACCCTTACACTTTCCTTTCAAAACCGGACCGCAGTAATGCTCATATTACGGCTTGGCAGCAGAAATAGGTAAGGTGGCAATACTTCTCTAGACTAACTCTTTCACGAGCTCTACTGCTACCATACAAGATAAAGCTTCGCTTGCTATCCTATCTACCGACCCGAGAGGTAGGGTTTTCCGAAGAGAGTACGGGCTCGATGGCAAGACCAGGGCGGTACGGCGGGCGTCCAGAACTGGCTGGGGTTTGTGGTTAGCTGCAGAGAACGGACACGTTCATCTGCCCCGGTGGTGTCTGGCCTGGGCGTAGCCCGCGCAGCTAGCGCGTCAGAGTAGCGGTTTAGTTGAGGGTCTGAGCCGATCAGACTCGCGAGGCACTTGAGTTGCGCTTCAAGTCGGTAGCTATGTCCGGACACTGCTGCTTGGTACCTCCGGCACTAGCCCGTAGAGCTAGTAGAGGATTAGCTAGACATCTTCCGGTCCCTCCAGCTGCGTCGGAATAGTAGTATTATACAATACTGCGTTACTGTATACATAAAGCAGCGATATATCAGTGCCTCCAGTGAAAAAGGAATAACTCAAAATCGACACTTTTCAGAGACAAAAATACCATACTTTTATTGATTGTTGGTTGTTCGCATTTATTATTAGCATTTTTTATGATTTCACGCTTTAGGTATACGTCTAAGCTTACGTTTGATGGGTATTGGTTAAACATCCAGTCCTAATTTCAATATTTTTTAAAAGTTTTTTCGTGTTGTGTCCTTGTTTACCAAGAGCTTGAAGATACAATACGACTAATGTTAACAAATTCTAAGACATAAAACGACTTATTCCTTTAGCTGCGACTGTTCTATGGTTATAACAGTACTTATGACACTCATCTTTATCACAAACAAAGAAATAGTACGACTTATTCAAGCAAATAAAAAATGTGTATGGAAACAACTGTGCGGTAAAAATGACGAAATTGTATAAATTTGTATTTTATGTTACATTAATCTGTACCTACATTTGTCGTTGAAATAATTATAATTGTTTAAATCTGAGTATTCATCGGCTGTTACCGTTTTGGTAGTTGGTAGATAAAATACATGACATTCACTGTCAACTAATGGTAGAAGAGCCAGAAGATCCTTCTTTTTCTCAACGCTTATGGGGAGAAGTTTGTCGGATCTGTTTGTCAACAAATAACTAAGATCTTTGACTCTTCCGAACATCGAGTATGTACTCCATCTTCCGAGTCTCTGGAATGAAAGACTAGAAAATATTTTTACACTAGCTATTACCGGTTCTTTCGTTCACTATTTGTTATATGTATATATATTGCTATTGTAAAAGTAGCAAACTTGCGTCACAAGCATTCTTCTTGGTTCAATAATTCCAAGTGCTTGATCCGTAATTAACTCCCTCTGCAATGAAAGCAAAGAAAAAATAAATAACTGTATACATGACTACTAAAATAATAACAAAAGATTGCCTAAAAATAAGAATAATGTATAGGTACATATAAATCGTACCTAAACGTTGTTATTGTAGGAACTATAGGTTACTTACACTAATCTACGTAGCCGTGCGTTTGTAATGAAATATTATATGTAATATTGATATAAGTAGTGTCTTCATCATTGATTACCTCTCGATGGCGATGTTGTTCAATATCACTGTAGCTGTGATCAAACGATTCGGGTAGATTTGTAATAAAAAAGGGAACAAACATTACTCTCAAAATAAAGTACATAATTATAGTGATATATAACTGCTCTTAATAATAGGGCAAACAACGGTACCTACCTTTTAATTTAAAGATGTTTCTATTCTAACTGTAAAAAAGTAGGTATTCGCCCAACGGTTGACAAAATTACATATTTATTATATATTATATATAAGAATATAATTTTATTCTCATACTTACCATTTTGCGACGATTATTGATTATTTTTCGTCCTTTGTACATTTTTGCAGCAAAATTATAAGTATAACACGAATAAGCACTCACACTGTTCTGAGACGCTATCAAGTTCTTGTAACAAGCATCATCCTCCGGATTCAAAGTACGTCCTGGTTTAAATTATTTTCAACCCACCATTTGTTGTCGTTTTGATAAAACATCAACTTAAGCCAATCCAAACTAATATTATAAATGCGAAAGTAACTGTGTTTTATTTGTTCGTCAATGGTGTTGAGTGAGTTATGCCTTTATGTACACTATGGAATAAGGGAATAGTCGCTTTTAGTCCTACTTTTTTTCCCCGTCATTATGGAACAACACGAAAAGTGTCTTTATGTAAAAGTATGTTTGTAGTTATTCGTTAAACATTGAATGTATTTTTTTAGTTGAAAGCACTTGTACCGTTAGACTCATAATTATGCCATTAGAAACAGTGAGTTACGCCCTTAGTCCAATATAAAAAAAGAAGGGTAGGAGACTGCTACATGATCTTTTGATGTGTTCTGTAATCGGACACGCTGAAGCCAATGGTGCAATAAAAACAAAAGGGCATAATTCGTCTTATTCCGTTTTTCACTGGAGGCACCGATATTATAAATCAATACCTCCAGTGAACACTACACCATCTTAGTTTTTGGACCTGTTCTTGTTTATTTTGTTTTTTTGTTTCGTTATTTTTTTTACAAAATTCTTGGAGCACAACGTTAATAAATAACAAAAAATGACCAAAAAATAAAGTTGGCATAGTGTTCATGGGAGGTATCAAAATGACCAATATAGTTTTAAATGTGACATATGACACGGAGTTATCCGTAATGGTGTTCAAAAGTCTTTTACTTTCAGGAAAGCAAAACCAATATAATTCAGTATCTATCTTCGAGTTTTTCAAAGAACGAACGCGACTATATACCAGGAACGAATATCAGACATGGCTCTATCAAGGCAGACCATCATCACATTGAACAATCGGGCAATTGTGAGAACAGCATGAGTATTGGAAACGGATATGAGGCGTTTTTGGATGATGAGGAAGGCGATGAATTATTAGCAAACTTGGTTTTATGATACACTATAATAATGTTTAAACTTATACATATCCCTTAAACATGGATTTCGCCTGCAGTCCTTCAATTTATTTATATAGAATAGAATAGATAAGTTGTTTTTCTTGTTAGATCACCTAAACGTGCCATTAGTAGCTGCTGAGATCGATCGACTTAAAACTAAACACAAAGACGTCTATCCTGCTGCCCGAGCCCCACTCATCGCAGAACTTTTAGATCCATCAACTAGTTGGGAGGTGCGGCACAGGCCGCTCCAACATCACATCCCTCGTTCATAAAATTCGTAGCTTGGCGGTCGATTGCAGATAGAAAAACAAAGAAATTGTTATATTACAGAGATCGAAATAGGCAGAGAATATAATTTACCTAGACTTCAAGGAAGCAATACACATAAAGTGGGTAATACCGTACTCTGATATTCCGGATATTACGGTTTTAGAGGATATTCCGAATTATTGTATATAGGTCTACATTTTTGATGTGTAACCAGCAATTACTTTACTATAAAAAGGGTATTTAGTAGAAAAGTTTTCTTATTCTTGAAATTATAATTATTTTGTTTTGATGTCTTTCATTTTTAATCGCTACAGGATTTCAGAGGGAGGTATAATCCACTCTATATGTATTACTTGAAGTTTGAATAAACATACTTAGGCCTATTCCGATCTCAGTACATGAATATCGTTGTTAAAAATGTTATTCTCTGTGTATATATGTATATTGAGCTTAGTACTGTACTGTATACATATATTTAAGTTATTTGGTATTTTTGTATTAAAAGCAATTGAAAAGCAAAAATATTGTTTTCTTAAATCAACAAAATCATTTATTCCTAACATAAGTTTTCACAATTTCATCTTATGATACCAAGTATCATACGATAATATCTTCTTAAAGTACCTCGTGCCTCTCTACTACCGGAGGTTGGCCGTCAATGTGGCAAACTTGTCCCTATCCGTGACTAAACGAAACAGTTTGTGAATCCGAACTACTCCCTTATATTGCCTAACTAAGCCTTCTTACATCTTCCAGCGCGTCTTTTGCCTTCAACCTTTCCCATCATTATAAGTTGAAGCGGTCGGTATTTATCATGTCAAACCACGTGACCGAGATAATCGATTATGCGCTTTGTGATAGTCTGCATTAGCTGGCGTAAGGTGTTATGCGCCGGAGTAGTAAGTCGTTCCAAAATAGAAAAAAAAAAGTTTTTTCTTAAAACAATAAAATCATTTATTCTTAACATAATATATCCAGTATCATACTATAACACTTCCGGCTTCAGTTGAAAGGGCGCTTGTGACAAAAACTCCAAATCGAGAAAATATTGTTTACAGAAATGAAATTGAAAAAATATTTATTGTTCTTTTGCGGTAAAGGTATGAAACCTTATCCACCTAGAAAAAAAAAAATAGTGACAGATCAGCCTTTTTTGACTAATCACGACAGTATACATTCCAATTTTTTTTGAAAAAATGTCACATGCGCCCTTTCAACTAACGACGGCAGATTATATACAAAAGTTATATGGTCCAATTAAACTTTGAGACCAGCTGCCCCAATTTGTATAGACCTTTAAATTATTTTATGGTACCAAGTGATGGGACGAACAAACCGTGCGCCTGGTGGTAAACGACACACCTGTTCATAGCAGTAGCAGTGCCACTCAGAGCTTTAAATCTCAAAGGTTTGGGGAGCACTTCCAGCGCGTCCGTCACTTTGAGACATAAGTTGACAAATTCCGTGTGCCTGTAATCTCACCAGCACCGTTAGTTACCCTTCAAAACCGGAACGCAGTAATGCTCACATTACTGCTTGGCAGCAGAGATAGGTCAGATGGTAGGGTAGGGTAGTACTTCCCTGGATGGTAGTACTTTCACATGGATCTCTACTGTAGCAGTAGTAGCTACCGAAATATTCGAGAAGGCAATGATTACAAATAAAAATTAGCGTTAGTATTACTTTATAAGCTTACAAAGTAATGAACGAATTGCCTAGAACGCAGTTTTATTTATGTATTGTATGTAAATGACAATCAAACGTATTTAAAAAATGTGCATATATACATATATGTATATTTACGTCATATACTATGCTAATCATTGACTTATATTTCGATATACATTTCGTACTGCGTATTTTAATATGGTGTAACGTAACAATTGAGCTTGATTATACTTATTACTTATAATGTTTAAATCATTAAATTTGGCGGGCTGCAATCTTTTGAAAATTTCAAATAACGCATTTAAACTTTATTGTGTCGTTTCTGACAAGTAAATTTTCATTCTGATTTGCTGGTGGTCAAAAGCCGGGTTTAAATGTGAGTAAGGTTCTAGAGAAGTGCACTCGGAATGTCGTAGACACATTATGAGTTCAATATCGTACGAGTATCATTTGTATCCTTTGCATCATTGCAATTCAATCTAGGACGAATAACTACAATGCATGAGTTTTCAAGATGACTTTGATCTTTTCACTTAACGTTTTTTGTTTTGTCAACTTTATGCGAGTCACGTCATAAAAAACGAACACTGTCCTAGTCAATTATCGGATGACGAGATGTCCGAGTGCACTCGGATCGCGTGTCTCGGTTTGAGCACGCTAGTAACATGAAAATCCGGGTTTAGAAGAAATAAAAGTTTTAAATTTACAAAATGGTCAGAAACAAAGCAGTAACAGTAATCTTTACAACAATTTTAATGTATTTACGATTGTTCTTGTGGCTAATTAACAACGCCCACTCTTCGCCATTTCTTGTCCGGCACATTCAAGCAGGCATGGATTGTTGTAAGTTACGCCGTTAACACCACAAACAGGTTTAAGATTCCTGGTGCAGACGCAATTGTTAGGCTGAGACCTCTTGTTCCTTAAGTGGGGGAATAACATAGAAATTGGCAAACTTTTATTTTCACAAGCGCCTTCATAAGCTAACGTTACCCCAGTCTTTCCAGCCGCGCAATTCAGCGTGCACGGGTTGGAGTATGTAACACCATCGCTGCCACATTGCGGTCTCTTTTCCCTTGTGCATACGCAACCTCTAATCTGTGCTACCTGCGCTTCTTCACACTGACCAGCGTGTTTGATTTCAACGCTTTTGCCTTTACTTTGTGCGCAACCAAGATCGCAACTATTCGGGTATGTGCTACCATCAGTACCGCATACAGGCTTGTATTCCAGCGTGCAGATGCATGAATCGTGTAGTGGCTCGCGGTTACAATAACCCGTTTTCACCAGAGTCAAGTCTGGGTTTTTTGTTTTGGCACAGTCGAACTGACACTGGTTGGCATAGGTTACTTCGTCCGAGCCGCAGATGGGAATCAATTCTCGCGTACACACGCAGGATGGTAATGCTGTGGTGGCGGACGCGTAGACACTGATGAAAAGGAGCAGTACTGTAACAAGAGAAGTCTCGGGTTAGAAAATGCAATCAGGCAATAACAGTACAGGTCGTAAAAACAATTATCTACTTATTTAATAATGATCGTAAAAATTAATTTGAAATGAAAGTATTTTCTCCCAACAGGCCTATAAAAATATACTAATATTATATATTAATAATATATCATCTGATGATTACGTCTTAGCGCAACTTTCGGGTTCAAGAGCACGTCATGCTTGAATTTAAATCGAATTCTATGTCGGTTACGATAAGAACGGTCAAAAGTACAAATTGTCAAGCCTGATATATATGTTATGAACTGTTCAGTAATTCTAAATAAGTATCGCACTTACTGACAGCCAAGTGATGAAATTAATGACAAATTATCATTATTGAAGGCCTAATTGTAGGAAACATAAGGCAAAAGTGTGAATTGTGGTTCAGTTAATTTTAAAATGTAAGTACTAATTGTCATAAACTGTCGTAATTTACTATCACAACCGTTTGCAACAATAGCTGGTTCCACGCAACTTATTGGTACCTCTGATGAGTTGTCACATTAGGTACAATACAATTTACAATAATATAATGGTCATTTGGCTCTGCGTAGTAATTTTTAATTTTATTCATATATCTTCCTTGTAAGTGGTTTAAGATCAATACACCTAAAAAGTTTATGTCAATTTTGTTTGCGATCTCTCTTTTCTTTGTATTCTTTTTTGTTTTCATTTGATTGTATTGTGAAACGTAATGATAATTATGCCTAGTGTAGTATTTGTTTATAGTACCTACAGAGTGGGTAGCGACGGCGGCGGGGTTAACCCTAACAAGGTGTAATCAATACGTTGGCGCGCTCTAGTAGGCACGCGATCAAAATGGAATACCTACAGTTATATTGTCCCCAGTGATCGGAAATTCCAATATAAATGGTGTTGGGAAACAATAGCCCGTCTACCTCGCCCGCCCTCGCTTGCGTCTCGAGAGACGCTCGGTACCCTCTAAGACCCTGCCCCCGTGTGCGCCGTACACCCTACACCTTATGTAAAGCCGGCATTGAGAATGGTCCAATACCTATAACTAGCGTTGGTAAGTGTCGGGATAAAGCCGGACATAGACTTTTTGGATGCGTGTCCAGCAAATTAGACGGTGTCCGACTTTTTTAATTGACTAGTCATGTGGTCGCTTGGGCGAGCGGGGCGTCTAAACATGGCTTTGTGGAAAAGAGATCTACTATTACTAATCTATTAGCATGTGTCCATAGTTGGTGTAATGATGTAGACAAAAAGAGTCCAGTTGATGTTATTTACTTAGATTTTGAGCGCGCATTCGATAAAGTTCCTCACCAACGTTTATTAATGAAGATGGAGCATTTTGGCTTACGTGGCAAGCTACTCAGGTGGATTGAAAGTTATTTGACTGGCCGAACTTTTCAAGTCCGAGTTGGTAACTCTATCACAACCGAAACTTGTGCTTAGTGGTGTTCCTCAGGGATCAGTCCTCGCTCCTCATCTTTTTGGGCTCTTTATTACCGACTTGGTGGAACTCATAGAGTGCCAATCAGCTTTCTTCGCAGATGATTGTAAGTTTTTTGCCAACCCTTTACTAAAATCTGGGCAACTGCAAGATGACATTGACCTAATTCATAATTGAACCAAAGACTGGGTCATCAGACTTAACATTTCAAAATGTAGTGTGTTGCACATTAGGTTCCCAAAACCCACAAAAAAATTGTAGTTTATATGGTAATGTTATAAGCTCAGTCAGCCAGCAGAAAGATCTGGGAATTACCATAACTTCAAATTTAAAATGGGAAGAATATATTGGTGCCATGGTAAAAAAAAGGCAAACTCTTTTATATAATGTCATACGGAGATCTTTTCAAGGGATGTCTTGAAGTATTAAGATTTACAAGACATATTAGGCCAATGCTTGAATATGGATTCCGAGTCTGGAGTCCGTACTTTCGGAAGGACATTGATTTATTGGAAAGCGTACAAAGGAGAGCTACCAAAATACCTCAGGCTCTACATCGTAAATCTTATGAGGACAGATTGAAATCCCTGGGCCTCCCTACTCTGGAAGAATGATGGTGTTTTAAAGTACACGCTTTCGTGACGAATTTTTTCTTTATAATAAAACGGTCTTTAAATCATTATTTGTAATTTTCAGATTCAAAATCAAAGTTGTGGAACTTGTCAATAGACGATTATGAAGAGTTTATGTCTAATGTGAGTTCTTTGGCACCACATGCGGTACTAGGACCTATCCCTTAATATGTTAATGTATGAAGTACACACAAATGTAGGTTTTTGAAGTATTTGTAATAAATATTTATTTCAAATACTAAGCTATTCACTAATAATAAATATACATATTATTTATTACAAAAAATGTGTTGTTGTAGGCCGTTTGATTATACCTTCATATAAATTACTGTAGGATATTAAACATTAATTATAGAAATCATAAAATAATTTCAGGTACTATGTGAACATTTTAAGGATCCTAACAGTATAGACCTGCCCCCTATTGAGTCTACACTCAGAAATAAGCTAATGCCTTTCCAAGAAGATGGCGTCAGGTAAATAACACCAACATTTATTGCACCCGTGACATGTTATAGAAACACAAGCTGATCTTAACCAGTGTTGGGCATTAATCAATTAAATTTCAATCGGATATTTAATAGACTTAAATATTAAGTGCAATTATCATGAATTGCAATTAAACCATTAATTGCACTTTGCAATTAATTTTAATCAAATTGATCTATGTTATTTGTGACTTGCAATTAAATCAATTGCAACTATTTTTTTAAATTACCCTAAGAAACAATTAAAACCGAAACTATCTGATAAAAGCGTCAACTTATATTCTGAGATGAAATGGAAGTTCGAAAATGTAAACAACAAACAAAGGACGCTGATGATACTTATGGTGCTGATGATGCTGCTGGTGCTAATGATTCTGATGGTGATGATGATGCTAATGGTGCTTATGATGCTGATGGTGCTGATGTTGCTGATGATGATTATGCTAAAACTGCGAATGATGGTGGTGGTGACGATATCGATGGCTTGCCTGACCACCAGTCATCATCAGCACTATCAGAATCATCAGCACCTTTCGCATCATCAGCACCACCTGTATCATTACTACTTCTGGAGAGCCACCAAAATACCTCAGGCTCTACGTCGTAAATCTTATGAGGACAGATTGAAATCCCTGGGCCTCACTACTCTTGAAGAAAGAAGGGTACGGGGTAATCTAATTGAAACTTTTAAAATTCTTAATGGGTTCTACAATCTTCCAGACCTTCACAACTTCTTCGAAAGAACAGTACACTCCAGGAATATGAGGCGTCACTACATGAAAATTGTCCGAAGGCCATCACTCACCAATACTGCCTACCACATCCTCGGCAACAGAGTGTTTTCAAAGTGGAACAGGTTGCCTGAGAACGTGGTTAATGCTAGTTCAGTGAACGCTGGTTAGAAAAGAAGAATTTGTGTCTTTAAGTCTCGGGTCTTTAAGTTCTAGTGTTTTGTGGACTTTAACAAAAAGATTCAACACAGCTTTGACATAGGCATATCAGCTTCAAGTTGCTCGCCTATTAATAATAAATAAATAAATAAACTGGCTGGTCTGGCCGGCTTAAGAGCTGGCAACCCTACCCATAGCGACGTGACGCGACTCTTAAGGCCCATTTAGATGGTGAGAGTTTCTCGCACGCTTCATGACGAAAACTCGTAGGCGATTATCGTAAGCAATAATCGCCATAAGATTCATAATGTTTACATAAATAAAGTTTTCGTGATTTGTGACATGTTTTAGAAACTCCGTGTGAAACAATCGTGACGTAAACAATTGAATCAGCATTGTTACAAAGGACTACCATATTTGGTATAATTTATGTGTCAATGTGACTGTGATTGATGTGTTCAGCATTATAAATATGGGTAATTAATAAGAGAGTTTTTTTTATAATACCAAGTGACGGGAAGAACAAGGTGGTAAGTGACACGACTGTCCATAACAGATTGCAGCGCCGTTCAGAGCTTTACAACCAAGATCGGAGGAGCACTGCCACTGCGCTTGTCACCCTGAGTCATAAGTTGACAAGTCCCATGCGCATGTAATTTCACCAGTAGATTTTTAAAGAAATTGCCTTATAATGGGTAGTTTGCAGTTCTATTCTATTTCCTTAATGGCGGCCACTAAGTTGCGGAATAGGACTATTTCTCTAGTGTTAGATGATTCTCGCGGCTATATTTAAATTACGAAAATTCTTTAGATGACGTGCTAAAACAAAGATTTGTTTATTTATTGCCGTAAATATTGAGCAACGCCATTTTAAACACGATCTATACCTACATAATAAGAACTTGCTATTCTAACAAAAACTCAAGTTGATTTGCCATGCTAAGTCGAAGGAATAGGCATTGCTATAAAATGCAAATCTACTTGTATGTACCTAAGTGCACTTAGATAATTTGGCTCTTATGTCACAGGAGTAAGGTCCAAAACCATATGTATCTAAGGCTATATACCCCCTTATAACAACAGACTGCATGCCTAATTCGGTACATAGTCTTGTAGTGATTCACTTCAATACTCATTGATTTTAATAGCATAAGTCTGATTGTGTGGAATTCCTGACATTTACCAAAGCACACTTGTCAAAACAAATTCGTGTTTTATCTTTGCGTACCTTATAATGTGTAGGTTAGGTTAGGTCCTTTTGTAAGGCCCAAGTAAAGTATTTTTTGCTTTTGTTTTATGGTGCCTACAGATTTGCTGGATTTTTGACCATAGTTGTAGTCGGTCGATATGACGTGTTTTGACGATCAATAGGTGCTTACAGATTTGCACGATTCTTGACGATCGTTGTTGGTGCTCAAAGTGCTGTATTTGCACCATCAATAAGATCTGTCAGTTAACAGATTTGTTCGATTTGATCGATCATGACTGTCGCCTGTTAGCGAGCAATAAACAGGTAAAAATCGGCACCTACGCCTAATTTAAATTTTACAGTGTTGATCGACAAATAATGCGCTGTCAATCGTTTGTTGCTTGCACATTTGCTCGATTTAGTCTGAACATTTGAGTGGATCGACAAAGAATATGTTGTCAATCGACTGTTTATTAAACATTTACTCGATTTTATCTGATCATACTTGTCTTGTTTCTTAGACAATTTACTAGATTTTTTTTATCACACGTGTCAATCGTCAAAAAATCGAGCAAATTTGTAGGCACTATTTACAAAACTAGTTGGGTTGTTATAGCACCTGTAGGTATACCAGCAGGCAGGTTCTCTTATCATAACAGTACAATACTTTTTTATTTTCTTAAAATTAAAATTCTATAAGCTCAGCCGTGACCATCGGAGCTGTAAAGGTAGAGAGCCCGAACTTTGATTTGTTTGAAAAACAAATATATGCGATTTATATACGAAAATAGTTTGATTTCCTATTTAAAAGTTCTTCTTGGACCATTTAAGTTCATGGCAAATTACATTGACCTAGGTCAATGGCAAATAATTATTTTTTGGATTGCGTTTTTCTAACACTTGTTAAATAAAAAAGCTGGGTGGGATGCCTCTCAACCCCTTTTACTTTATGATTTTTTTTCATTGATCTTGTTGTGGAAAGGCATAAAATATTTCTTTAGGTAGATGCACGTGTACATACTTTGGAACTGCGCACTTTAAAGATAAAAAAAGAGCATCGTACACAAGGAGTAATTTTTTTACATTGGACGTTAGCATAATATCCTCTCCTTCCACGTCTCTAACTGGTTTCGTAAGATAATAATTAGGTAAATTATTAACATCTAAGAAGAAAGAAACGCTTGGAAAACGGAAAAATTTTGTTAAGTATATTAAGTACATTAAAATATTAATTATTTTATAATATGAATAAAAAAGGATAATAATAACTTACCAAATTTAAAACCCATTTCAAATAGTTCCAGAAAATCCTGCACTCAATAATAGACTTGTCGGCAAAATTAATAAACCAATGTATTGTAATAGTAACAATTCGCACAAACTCATTCACCGGTGATTTGCTAACTAATGCTACGCAGTCATACGCGCGGGGCTTATATACGATGTTGATGTTTCTCAAGCGATGTAAACATTGGTAGTGTAAAATCCCCGGCATCGTGCGTCAGCAAGCTTGTCTGATTTTCCCGCTTCCAGAGAGGAAATAATGAAAGTACCTACTACGGCAAATAAAATCGGAAGTCACTGTCTAATGAGCAGTTTGTGATTTCGCATTGAAAATTGGAACGTGATTTTTTTTAGTTTGTTTTAATTATTGGGATATTTTTGCAATTAAATA